TTGTCCTGATCTTGCCAGTTTATACTTATAAGATCTGATCAAAATTAGTTCACAGTGCGTCTTTTAATCATCTACACCTGTCTAAAAATGTGGATACAATCAGACTGAGGACAACATCAGGACAAAGGATGCATGTTAGCTGTAGCCCACATGATACAATGAGAAATAACTGTCTTTTCATTTGCTTGGTGAAGATAAAGGCAATGTAGAAATACTTTCACATTTTACACTGTAGTTTCTCTCCCCCATCCCTCCTTTCCATAATCTCCCTCCTCCTCCTCCTCCTCTCCCCCTCCTCCTCCCTCTCTCCCTCATCCTCCCTATCCATCCTCTCTCACACACTGACAAACACCAGGCGTGCGGTGTAGGTCGGCCAGGTAGAGCAGGAAGTTGAGAGTTGTGAGCACGGCAACCTGGTCTCCAACTCCTCCCTCATAGACACACATACACAGTCTACACACACTGTTGATACTCAGACCTACTTCACCCCTACAACTGACACACATCATCATCATTCATGACACTGATAACCATAGCTGTACCCCCGGCTACTCCACCTACATACACCACTGATAGCCCTAGCACAAGACACCACAGTCCACAAAGGTGGCAAACACTCAGTGGAGAAGAAGCTAACATTGTCGTCTTGTGTGACTCCAATGGCAAGTTCCTCAGTGAAAGACGTCTGTTTCAAGGGTAAAAAGTGAAGAAGATCAGAAGTCCAATGACATTCTGCCCTGGGACTCTTGTCAGAACACAGAGTACACAGTGGCAGAATACCTGACCACTGTGACTGACCCAAAATTAAGGAAAGCTTTGACTATGTACAGACTCAGTGAGCATAGCCTTGCTATTGAGAAAGGCCACCTCCTGCCAAATGTATGACCATTTTAGAGAAACATATTTCCCTCAGATTACACTGTTGCCACAAGAAAAGGGCAACCTGCGAAGAACAAATACCAAATACAACCCATATTTATGTTTATTTGTTTTCCCTTTTGTACTTTAACTATTTGCACATCGTTACAACACTGTACATAGCCATAATATGACATTTGAAATGTCTCTATTCCTTTGAAACTTTTGTGAGGGTAATGTTTGCTGTTAATTTATGATTGTTTGTTTCACTTTTGTTTATTATCTAGTTCACTTGCTTTGACAATGTAAACATATGTTTCCCATGCCAATAAAGCCCTTTGAATTGAAAGAGAGAGAGAGAGAGAGAGAGAGAGAGAGAGAGAGAGAGAGAGAGAGAGAGAGAGAGAGAGAGAGAGAGAGAGAAAGAAAGAAATAGCTGTGACTAAAGGGGAAATTAGAATTTATAAAACAAACAAATTCTAGAAGTAATTAAATGAATGCTATAGCCAATCCCAGTGAGTTGTAAGTATGCACGTTAATAACAACCAATTGAGAGAGTAAGAGCGAGAGAGACAACAAGCGATTTAAAACCTTTTAAACCCTTTATTATTAAGCCCCTGAACAGTAGCATCAGTTACTTTATCTATTCTTCACTACAATAGATAGCAGATTATAAACACCATACATCTCCAAAGATTTCATACAAAATTAAGCAAATTACTGAGTTACTGAGTGTCAGATCTACAGATTAGCAAAGCTGTTTATTGTTTGGCAAACAGCCCCATCAGCTGGACAGGTTTATGATGGTTGATTGAGCAATATGTGCTACACATGAGCAAACTACCCGAATTAAATCGGCCAATGATCAGTTAAGGGAAAATCCTAACTTCCTCTTAAGTAAAATGTCCACTTAGTCTCCCATTGACATCAATTGCATGACTAACGCTTTGAACACACCGACAGTGTCATTGCGTTTTGGTACACCAGAAGTACATTCATTTCCAATTGAACGCTGCATTAATCTTGAACGCTGCATTAATCTTGAACGCTGCGTTAATCTTGCAGCATTGCGTTGCAGAGGCAGTTGCGGTGTGTTCTGTGTGGTGCATACGTTGGATTTATCGAACGTATACGTCAAACTGTATGCGTAAACGGGTTGACAGAAATGGTAGCAGAAGGTGAATGTTGAACTTTTGTTGCACACATATCTAGATGATGCTGCATACTATTTTGCGCAACGCCGCAGTCGGTGTGTTCAAAGCGTAAGTGAAAATTTGACTTGGCGCGGAGGTTAGGATTCTCCCCTAAGTATGTATGACTACATGTTACACACTAACTACATGTTAGTGAGGATTATTGATGAATACTAATGTTCAGTATTGTACATGAAATTGAACATATATTGTGCTGAATCTGAATGTACTAGATTACAAATGTAAAGGAAATAAATAGCCAAAGATCAAATCAGAAAAGAGCATTATAAAGCTTCACTCTAGCATGGTTACCTCTAACAGTTTACACAGCTCTGAAGTATCATTAGTGTGCTGGTAACAAACCCCAGACTCATTATAGAGGGGCTGAGTGAATGTTGTCTGATCTCTATGGAGGAGGGTCATTGTGTCAGAAACTCTTGATGAATATGAACATATAAGATTAAAACATAGTGTTTTATCAAAGTATATTTAATTCCTTCAATCTCTAAAGATAAACAGTGAAGGAATTATATAGCTAAATATAAATGATTTGAGAAAAATAATTGCACAAAAACAGATCATGTTGAATCATCAATCTGGTTTGTGGATTTCTACAGTTTACACAGCTCTGCAGTACCAGTAAGATAAAACCCAGGATAGAGAGGCTGAGTGAATGTGGTCCTGACTCTGTGGAGGGGGGTCATTGTGTCAGAAGAGACGCTGTAGAAGGAGAGTGTACCTGCCTTGTGATCCAGGTAAACTCCTACTCTGGAGGACAGAGGGCCTGATACTTTAGTAAAAACAGTATTGTGAAAGAAACAATAACCATTCCTAGTGCACCGTAAACTCCAGGACTTTTTATGTAGCCAGAATAAGGAGTCATCACCTGACCCTCTGCTGATGTCTTTATAGGAGACTGCTGTATGAACAGTGTGACCACTCCACTCAACCTCCCAGTAACAGCGTCCAGACAGACCCTCTCTACACAGCACCTGAAACCACCCAGTGAACCTTTCTGGATGGTCAGGATATGGATGGGGTTGTCTTGTACATGTCACCTTTCTGTTCTCCTCAGACAGGGTGAGGTGTTTGTTTGCTGTGTTTGGGTCCAGTGTGAGCTGACAGGAGTCTAGGAGAAGAGCAGAGCAGAGACCAATGAGGGGAGATAGATATAGCAATCAGTTAAGTCAGATACTGTCTTTGATTATAGCAGAGTAGAGATTATAGCAATATGAGAATCAGACAAGCAGCTAACTAGTCTGACTATATCTACTATTGTTATATATGTATATCTTAGGGCTTGTGAGGAGTGTCAGTAAATAGAGACTGTTAGTTATTTCAGGGATAAAGAGCACACAATTAAATACAACAATTTAATGTATCTCTGTGAGAGATAAAGAGACTCACATTGTAAGAATTGTTCTCTGGTCTTGGGTTCTGGAGGCAGTAAAACATCCACTGTTTTCACTACAGACACACAAACACATTCACAGAGAGAGGGAATGTTACTATTACCATACCATATTGCATGTATAAATGTACATAAGTTATTATTTAACATTATTTATCCTTTTAGTATTATTTTCAACCCACCTGTACTGGAAATCTTGGTCCATTCTCCTTTAAGGAGGTTTTCTAGTTTCTCTCTCAGCTCAGACACAGACTTACTCACATCTCTGAAGTACTGAAGAGGATGGACAACAATGCTGGGTAAGTCTGAAGATACACTGGGTATGGAGAGAGACTGAAAACTCTGGAGAAAAAGAGAGAGAGAGAGAGAGAGAGAGAGAGAGAGAGAGAGAGAGAGAGAGAGAGACAGCAGAAGATTAAGAAACTGTATATCTTCATTGTGGATCGATGTAGCCTATAGTTATTGTACAAAGATAGTTTAGTAAGTTACCTGGAGGAAATGGATGTGATCCTCTGTGTGTGAAAGCTGCTCCAGCTCAGCGTTTCTCCTCCTCAGCTTAGCCACCTCCTGCTCCAGTTGTTTCAGGAGTTCTTCAACTCGACTCACTTCAGCCTTCTCCTGGGCTCTGATCAACTCCTTCACCTCAGAGCGTCTTCTCTCAATGGAGCGGATCAGCTCAGTAAAGACCCTCTCACTGTCCTCCACTGCTGCTTGTGCAGAGCTCTGTTGTACGATAGAGAGAGAGAGAGAGAGAGAGAGAGAGAGAGAGAGAGAGAGAGAGAGTCTATTTCACTTGCTTTGGCAATGTAAACTGTTACAGGAGTGGGTCGCAGTTCCGGAGCGAACCACTAGGTCTCATCCTCCGACAACCATAGGCACCTCCACACTCACAGTCGGGACTAATTATCTGCCTATTGGTGCCACCTGTGGCTATCTGATTCACCTGTGTATTTATGCCCTCACTTCCCTGTGTTCCCTTGCTCAGATTTCTCTGCTAGTTCCTTGATGCCAAGCAGTACATATCATTGTTAGATCACGTAACAGAGTTACAGGTACTCGAGAAGTGTTCTCCCTGTGTCATTGTGTTTTTCCAGTCAGAATTAGTATTTCGTATTGTTTGCTGTCAGCCTGTTTTTTGGAGACCTATGTGCTCCTCATTTGTTTTCGTGTATAGTCCGTTATTTTGTATCCTGGCTTTTGGACCACCAGTAAAGATCCTTGTTTCGCCATCTCTGCCAACTGCCTACTGTCTATCCTGCACCACACCTGGGTCACACCTCACACCAACCCTTACAGAAAACTGAGCCAATATGGACCCAGCGGAGGCAGCACAGTATCATAGCGCATTGGCAGCGCAGGGAGCCATGCTGGATCAGCATGACCGCAGCCTGCAGCAGATCATCGAGAATCTCCGCCAGCTGACGATCACCATTCAGAGCCAGGTGGACACCCAACCAGCCCCAGCAGCCGGAGTTCACCCAGGAGTTACGCAAGGTGTTCGACACCTCTTGTCGGCAGGGTGACCGTTCGGTGGCGAACTACTCCGTGGAGTTCCGGACCTGGGCTCGAGAGGCAGGATGGGAGGAGGCCGCCCTGGTGATCCTGTACGCGCAGGGGCTATCAGAGGGGATGAAGGATGAACTCTCCTTCAGGGCACTGCCTGAGCAACTGGACGGCCTCGTCGACCTCTCGGTGCGGGTGGACAATCGGCGTCGTGAGAGGGCGTACGAGAGAGGCATGACGCAAGGCTCAATACAGGGAGGAGACGCCTCAGGAGGAGGCTATGCTGCCGGGTGCGGCGCGCTTGTCCCGGATAGAGAGGCAAAGGCGTCTGCCGCAGGGACGTTTCCGGTACTGCGGCCACGCAGGTCACCACGGCGACTCATGCCCGTAGAAGCCGGGAAAATGGGAGGGCTCGCTGGTATCGGGAGGGGTGCTAGCGAGCCGGAACCAAAACCCCAACTCCAGAGATGCCTTTTCTTTTTTTTTCTTTTTTTTTCAGGGGGGTAGGTCAGCATAATATTGCAGATATATTGTAACTTCCATCAATGTAATTGTCTGCATCACTTCCAATCCCCATGTTTTTTTATATACATACAGTGAGGGGAAAAAGTATTTGATCCCCTGCTGATTTTGTATGTTTGCCCACTGACAAAGACATGATCAGTCTATAATTTTAATGGTAGGTTTATTTGAACAGTGAGAGACAGAATAACAACAAAAAAATCCAGAAAAACGCATGTCAAAAATTTTATAAATTTATTTGCATTTTAATGAGGGAAATAAGTATTTGACCCCTCTGCAAAACATGACTTAGTACTTGGTGGCAAAAACCCTTGTTGGCAATCACAGAGGTCAGACGTTTCTTGTAGTTGGCCACCAGGTTTGCACACATCTCAGGAGGGATTTTGTTCCACTCCTCTTTGCAGATCTTCTCCAAGTCATTAAGGTTTCGAGGTTGACGTTTGGCAACTCGAACCTTCAGCTCCCTCCACAGATTTTCTATGGGATTAAGGTGCTTCTTCTTGAGCCACTCCTTTGTTGCCTTGGCCGTGTGTTTTGGGTCATTGTCATGCTGGAATACCCATCCACAACCCATTTTCAATGCCCTGGCTGAGGGAAGGAGGTTCTCACCCAAGATTTGACGGTACATGGTCCCATCCATCGTCCCTTTGATGCGGTGAAGTTGTCCTGTCCCCTTAGCAGAAAAACACCCACAAAGCATAATGTTTCCACCTCTATGTTTGATGGTGGGGATGGTGTTCTTGGGGTCATAGGCAGCATTCCTCCTCCTCCAAACACGGCGAGTTGAGTTGATGCCAAAGAGCTCGATTTTGGTCTCATCTGACCACAACACTTTCACCCAGTTCTCCACTGAATCATTCAGATGTTCATTGGCAAACTTCAGACGGACATGTATATGTGCTTTCTTGAGCAGGGGGACCTTGCGGGTGCTGCAGGATTTCAGTCCTTCACGGCGTAGTGTGTTACCAATTGTTTTCTTGGTGACTATAGTCCCAGCTGCCTTGAGATCATTGACAAGATCCTCCCGTGTAGTTCTGGGCTGATTCCTCACCGTTCTCATGATCATTGCAACTCCACGAGGTAAGATCTTGCATGGAGCCCCAGGCCGAGGGGGATTGACAGTTATTTTGTGTTTATTCCATTTGCAATAATCGCACCAACTGTTGTCACCTTCTCACCAAGCTGCTTGGCGATGGTCTTGTAGCCCATTCCAGCCTTGTGTAGGTCTACAATCTTGTCCCTGACATCCTTGGAGAGCTCTTTGGTCTTGGCCATGGTGGAGAGTTTGGAATCTGATTGATTGATTGCTTCTGTGGACAGGTGTCTTTTATACAGGTAACAAACTGAGATTAGGAGCACTCCCTTTAAAAGTGTGCTCCTAATCTCAGCTTGTTACCTGTATAAAAGACACCTGGGAGCCAGAAATCTTTCTGATTGAGAGGGGGTCAAATACTTATTTCCCTCATTAAAATGCTAAATATATATACAGTGGGGGGAAAAAAGCATTTAGTCAGCCACCAATTGCGCATGTTCTCCCACTTAAAAAGATGAGAGAGGCCTGTAATTTTCATCATAGGTACACGTCAACTATGACAGACAAAATGAGAAAATCCAGAAAATCACATTGTAGGATTTTTAATGAATTTATTTGCAAATTATGGTGGAAAATAAGTATTTGGTCAATAACAAAAGTTTCTCAATACTTTGTTATATAACCTTTGTTGGCAATGACACAGGTCAAATGTTTTCTGTAAGTCTTCACAAGGTTTTCACACACTGTTGCTGGTATTTTGGCCCATTCCTCCATGCAGATCTCCTCTAGAGCAGTGATGTTTTGGGGCTGTCGCTAGGCAACACAGACTTTCAACTCCCTCCAAAGATTTTCTATGGGGTTGAGATCTGGAGACTGGCTAGGCCACTCCAGGACCTTGAAATGCTTCTTACGAAGCCACTCCTTCGTTGCCCGGGCGGTGTGTTTGGGATCATTGTCATGCTGAAAGACCCAGCCACGTTTCATCTTCAATGCCCTTGCTGATGGAAGGAGGTTTTCACTCAAAATCTCACGATACATGGCCCCATTCATTCTTTCCTTTACACGGATCAGTCGTCCTGGTCCCTTTGCAGAAAAACAGCCCCAAAGCATGATGTTTCCACCCCCATGCTTCACAGTAGGTATGGTGTTCTTTGGATGCAACTCAGCATTCTTTGTCCTCCAATCACGACGAGTTGAGTTTTTACCAAAAAGTTATATTCTGAGATTTTGAGTGAAAACCTCTTTCCATCAGCAAGGGCATTGAAGATGAAACGTGGCTGGGTCTTTCAGCATGACAATGATCCCAAACACACCGCCCTGGCAACGAAGGAGTGGCTTCGTAAGAAGCATTTCAAGGTCCTGGAGTGGCCTAGCCAGTCTCCAGATCTCAACCCCTATAGAAAAATCTTTGGATGGGATTTGAAAGTCCGTGTTGCCCAGCGCGAGCAGGCCCCAAAACATCACTGCTCTAGAAGGAGATCTGCATTGAGAATGGGCCAAAATCCAGCATACAGTTGTTTGAAAACCTTGTGAAGACTTTACAAAAAACGTTTGACCTGTGGTCATTGCCAACAAAGGGTATATGAACAAAGTATTGAGAAACCTTTTGTTATTGACCAAATACTTATTTTCCACCATAATTTGCAAATAAATTCATTAAAAATACCTACAATGTGATTTTCTGGATTTTATTGTTCTCATTTTGTCTGTCATAGTTGAGTGTACCTATGATGAAATTACAGGCCTCTCTCATCTTTTTAAGTGGGAGAACTTGCACAATTGTTGGCTGACTAAATACTTTTTTTTCCCCCTGTATATCCCAGAGCCCAACTCAAGAAAGGACCTGATTTACGAGTTGTAACATACAGTTACAGCTGATGAGAAAGCATGCAAGATTGAGCAGAAATTGACAACAATGTCAGATTTGATTAATCTACTTAATCTATGTCAAGTCCTACGTGATGGAGATCAGATCCACCCTCTTCACCTGAGACACAAACACTCTGGTCCCCCGTTGTAACCATTTTTCCCAAGCATCTCCGTGCAGTCAGACCTTTGATTATTTTGTGCCACAATGATAAACCCCCTCTCTGATTGTCCGAGTGTGACCCCCTCCCCATGGGTTATTGCAGCCAGTGTTGCCAGCACTGCCACTACCTGGGTGGGGGTACCCCACCGGAATCCCCACCGGCTAAGTAAAAGGTCGTCAAGGTTCTCATTAGCAGCTTTGAGAATTTCCTTGTTTATAATGCTCTCCAATCAGGGGGCTCTAGCTTTGTAGGACCAACCCTGCCAGGCAGGCTCAGAATCTTGAGGGGGCTGTGCTGCTCAAGTAGGTCTCTGACCGCATTTATTTCTCTGTTTAGGCTGCATACTCACAGCAGGTCCATAAAAGAGATGGGAACTTCTCTTTGGTGTATGGGTCACTCAGGTGGGTGTCCAGGATATAGGGTTGGGGATCTTTCCATCATGATAGGACATTACAAAATTTGATTAGATGTATACTATATTTAAAAATGTATATCCCTCATCTACACAAAATTGAAAGTTCTCTCTCACTACCCCTGCTCATAGACACCCGTCGGCTCTAGGATATGCAACCATTTCCCCTCTCACTCAATTAACACCGCACCTTTCCAAACACAAAAATGCACACCACATGGTTGACTGCGGAGGAAATGGGCCGAGCGTGCAAACGCACCCACATCCCACACCTGCTGCAAGGGGGAAAGGACGCCTGGGAGAACACAGGACCAACCCCAACAACCGTCTGCCAAAACAACAATTTCCTGCCAAAAAAGCCATGTTCTAATTACAGGAGTGGGTCGCAGTTCCGGAGTGACCCACTAGGTGTCATCCTCCGACAACCATAGGCACCTCCTCACTCACAGTCGTGACTAATTATCTGCCTATTGGTGTCACCTGTGGCTATCTGATTCACCTGTTTATTTATGCCCTCACTTCCCTTGCTCAGTTTTGTCTGCTAGTTCCTTGATATCAAGCAGTACGTATCAGTGCCGGATCACGTGATGGAGTTACAGGTCCTCGAGAAGTCATTGTGTTTTTCCAGTCAGAATGAGTATTTCGTATTGTTTGCTGTCAGCCTGTTTTTTGGAGACCTATGTGCTCCTCATTTGTTTTTGTGTATAGTCCGTTGTTTTGTATCCTGGCTTTTGGACCACCAGTAAAGATCCTTGTTTCACCATCCTTGCCTACTGCCTACTGTTTCCCATGCCAATAAAGCCCTTAAATTGAATTGAAAGAGCGAGAGAAGGGTCCATGTTAAGCAGTCTATTCACTCTCTTACTCAGAGCCCTGTTCCCCTCAGTCGGATTAAAGAGTGGCCTCTCTCTCATTTACTGGAGGAGGGAAGTGACATTTTGCGTCTCCTCTGATCAATAATAATAATACTCACCTTGAGAGACTCCTCAACCTGTTTGAGCTCCTTCAGAACCTTCTCTCTCTCCTGGACTCTCTGCTGGAACTTCTGCTGACTCATCCCCAGCTGCCTCTGTGGAGATACCTCTTCATTTAGCTATCAACCTACACTGATGTCAATGTTTTTATGTCAAAATACTATGATACCATATTGCACGGCCAATAGTCCAATAGTATGGTAATATCCTTACAAACATACAGCTAATGGCATAGGGCCCATAGAGAATAGGGCAGTCTCTTTGGAAGTCTCTTTAAAAGTCATTATCTATGTTGTTAAATACTGTATATGATTATAGCGTTACAGTACGTCTCATCGAGCTTTGACTGAACTTTGATGATGGTGTTTGACGACAACAACTTTATTTTAATTTTTTATTTTAACCTTCATTTAATGGTGATACATTTGGAGAATCTTTTGGAGAATCTTTTTCATGTGAATAACTAACTACATATGTTTCTCTCATATTCAAACAGCCTTCCCATTGTATCTTTACATATTTGTTAATCTCCAACAAGTTGTTCTGGTCTTACCTGTTTCTCAGTCCTCTCTGCTGCAGCTGACACTGTATAATAATAATAATATAAATAATATGCCATTTAGCAGACGCTTTTATCCAAAGCGATTACAGTCATGCGTGCATACATTTTTGTGTATGGGTGGTCCCGGGGATCGAACCCACTACCTTGGCGTTACAAGCGCCGTGCTCTACCAGCTGAGCTACAGAGGACCACTCCTGTATCATGACCTTTATGTTCATCCATCACACACAGTAGACAGATACACTGCTGATCAGTACGACAGTAAACCTCCAGCAGTTTGTCATGATGAGAGCAGATCTTCTCCTGCAGTTGTGTGGTGGCTTTGACCAGCTTGTGCTTCTTTAGTCCAGGAATTTCATAGTGAGGTTGGAGGTGAGTCTCACAGTAAGACACCAGACACATCATACAGGACATGAGGGCTTTCTGCTTTCTGGTCCCAGTGCAGAAATCACAGGCCACATCTCCAGGTCCAGCATAGCACAGAGCAGGAGGGGGAGCAGCCTGGAGTCCTGTCTTCTTCAGTTTCTCCACCATCTCAGTTATTTTTCATCAAAGTAGGCCTTGGAGTGAAGGTTTTTCTGCACTGAGGGCAGCTGTAGACCCCCTTCAGATCCTCCTGATCCCAGCAGCCCTCAATACAGCTGCTACAGTAACTGTGTCCACAGGGGATGGAGACCGGCTCCTTCAGTAGATCCAGTCAGATAGAACAACAACAGAGCTGGTCCTGGTTCAGCAGAGTTCCTTGTTGAGCCATTTGGACTGTTGTTCACTCTCACACAGACAGACAACACAGAGACTGATCAGTTTAGTTTCCTCATAAGAGAGTGTGGGAGTGGTTCTGGTGGGAGTGGTTCTGCCAGAGGGGCGGGGTTAGAGTAGCCTGGATGACAGTCTGTTTCTGCTATCTTGCCAACTCATTATGGAATTATCATGGAAAACATGTTTGGATAGATAATGACAATGGAGTAGGCAAAAGCACAAACATGTCTGAGAGAGAGAGCGAGAGAGAGAGTGACATACAGACAGACACAAAGAGAGAGACGGACAGATAGACAGAGGCGTCTTGCACCCCAAAAATCTGAGGGGGAACAAAGTATGTGAGGAGGCTTGAGGGAAGTCCAGAGGGAGCTAGGCCGCCAGTCCGGAAGTTGGAGAAACTTGCATTTTTCAAACACCTGAATCTGCTTTTTCCTGCAATCTAGAGCCACGCTCGTTATGTTTAATTATATTTTTATAATATGTCAATTTTTTGCCATATTTAAGCATACCTCTTGAGCAGTCTGTATCCTCCTGACTGGTGGTTCTCTTTTTAAATAAACTTACTATGCTTCTCTGCATCTCTGCTAAAATCTGGGTAATTGATTGAAAGGAATTATTCAGTACATTTAGTTATTGCTTGTTTTTCTAAAGTCTACCAACCTTGCCAGCAGCCATGCCAGCTAATATACTATAGTTCGACAAGTTAGCTACTCTAGAAATGGCTTCTTGGTAGCTAGTTCTGAGGTTGGGAGATTGGGAACCTATCTGGGCTAGCTAAATTAAACTTCAGAAAATTGCTAGTTGGCTAGTATTATTACAGAGAAACAACAACAAAATAAAATACAACATTTAAACAGTACAAATCTGTGCCCCCTATCGGCATGACTCCTCAGGAGAGAGATGAGACTGATCCGTTTCGTTTTCTCAGAAGAGTGTGTGGGAGGGGTCAGAGGGAAGGAGGGAGGAGAGAGAGAGAAAGAGAGAGACAACCTAGATTTAAACGCTTTTAAAAACTTTATTATTAACCCCCTAAACAGTAGCATCAGATAATTTATCTATTTTCACTATTGATAGAAGATTTTAAACACCATACATTTTCAAATATGTAATAAAAAATGAACCAAGTTACTGAGTGTCGAGTCAAGAGATTAGCAATGCTGTTTATTGTTCGGTGAACAGCACCATCAGGTGGACAGGGGTATCGAGAGCATACTGTCGGGCTGCATCACGACCGCAAGGCTCTACAGAGGGTGGCACGCTCAGCCGAACGCACCATTGTGCCCTCCAGGACACCTACAACACCAGGTGTCACAGGAAGACCAAGAAGATCATCAAGGATTTCAGCCACTTGAGTCACGGCCTGTTCTCCCCGCTTCCATCACTCAGACGCGGGCAGTATAGGAGTATCATTGCAAAAAATCATAGTAATCATATCTTTTTAAGACTTTAAAGACTTTTGTCCATAAAAAAAGCATCGTCTTTGTGTGCTTCTTTAGCAGTTCATCAGAATTTCTTCTGTTTTTGCTGATGACCACTAAAATACAACAGTAGCCATCTTGTCCGGCCCTTGACCTTTCACCTTTGGCTGTGGTCGTGCGGGGGGGTCCATGGGAGGTGACAGGGGAAGACCAGGCCCCTCTCCTGGGCGTGGTGTCTCCAGCGGTCCTCGTCTCCCTCATGGGTCAGGTACTGGCAGCCCATCCTCTGCTCAAACTCCCTCAGGTCACACCACAACTGGAAGTCCTGGTAGTTAAGGTCATGGTTAAGGTTAGGGCTATGGTTAAGAGTTAGGACAAGGGTTGGGGTTAGGGTAAGTGTTAGAGGTATGGCTACCTTCTCTGTCCTGGTACACCAATGGTGGAACAAGCTTTGCCCTGACGCTAGAACAGCAGTCCCTGCCCATCTTCTGAAAACATCTGAAACCCTACCTCTTCAAAGAGTATCTTACATTTTCCCTTGGCACCCCCCAGCCTGTCAGTGATTGTCCATTCATACAGGTTGAGGACTCTTACCTGTAGCCAGGGGTGTCCCAGGGCCTTCCCCACACTGAACCTACGTCTCACTGACACCTGGAGCAGGTTGTTGATCAGACTCACTGCTACAGAGATGGAAAGAGAGAGAGAGATATAGAGCGACAGAGAGAGACAGAGAGAGAGAGAGAGAGAGAGAGAGAGAGAGAGAGAGAGAGAGAGAGAGAGAGAGAGAGAGAGAGAGAGAGAGAGAGAGATGCAATGTTAGCCCAGGGCTATGGAAGAGAAAATTTTGTTTTTGTCATCCCTGAATGCTGATTCATTGGCCTCTGCTCCCCTCAGACCAAAACACTAGGGGGAATCCTGCTCACCCTCTAGTGAGATGTTAGACCAGGGCAGACAGGGGTACAGACTTACCCTCTAGTGAGATGTTAGACCAGGGCAGGCGGGGTACAGACTTACCCTCTAGTGAGATGTTAGACCAGGGCAGACAGGGGTATAGACTTACCCTCTAGTGAGATGTTAGACCAGGGCAGACAGGGGTACAGACTTACCCTCTAGTGAGATGTTAGACCAGGGCAGACAGGGTACAGACTTACCCTCTAGTGAGATGTTAGACCAGGGCAGGCGGGATACAGACTTACCCTCTAGTGAGATGTTAGCCAGGCAGGGTACAGACTTACCCTCTAGTGAGATGTTAGACCAGGGCAGACAGGGGTACAGACTTACCCTCTAGTGAGATGTTAGACCAGGGCAGGCGGGGTACAGACTTACCCTCTAGTGAGATGTTAGACCAGGGCAGGCGGGGTACAGACTTACCCTCTAGTGAGATGTTAGACCAGGGCAGGCGGGGTACAGACTTACCCTCTAGTGAGATGTTAGACCAGGGCAGGCGGGGTACAGACTTACCCTCTAGTGAGATGTTAGACCAGGGCAGGCGGGGTACAGACTTACCCTCTAGTGAGATGTTAGACCAGGGAAGACAGAGGTACAGACTTACCCTCTAGTGAGATGTTAGACCAGGGCAGACAGGGGTACAGACTTACCCTCTAGTGAGATGTTAGACCAGGGCAGGCGGGGTACAGACTTACCCTCTAGTGAGATGTTAGACCAGGGCAGACAGGGGTACAGACTTACCCTCTAGTGAGATGTTAGACCAGGGCAGACAGGGGTACAGACTTACCCTCTAGTGAGATGTTAGACCAGGGCAGGCGGGGTACAGACTTACCCTCTAGTGAGATGTTAGACCAGGGCAGACAGGGGTACAGACTTACCCTCTAGTGAGATGTTAGACCAGGGCAGGCGGGGTACAGACTTACCCTCTAGTGAGATGTTAGACCAGGGCAGGTGGGGTACAGACTTACCCTCTAGTGAGATGTTAGACCAGGACAGGTAGGGGTACAGACTTACCCTCTAGTGAGATGTTAGACCAGGGCAGGCGGGGTACAGACTTACCCTCTAGTGAGATGTTAGACCAGGGCAGACAGGGGTACAGACTTACCCTCTAGTGAGATGTTAGACCAGGGCAGACAGGGGTACAGACTTACCCTCTAGTGAGATGTTAGACCAGGGCAGACAGGGGTACAGACTTACCCTCTAGTGAGATGTTAGACCAGGGCAGGCGGGGTACAGACTTACCCTCTAGTGAGATGTTAGACCAGGGCAGACAGGGGTACAGACTTACCCTCTAGTGAGATGTTAGACCAGGGCAGGAAGGGGTACAGACTTACCCTCTAGTGAGATGTTAGACCAGGGCAGGCGGGGTACAGACTTACCCTCTAGTGAGATGTTAGACCAGGGCAGACAGGGGTACAGACTTACCCTCTAGTGAGATGTTAGACCAGGGCAGACAGGGGTATAGACTTACCCTCTAGTGAGATGTTAGACCAGGGCAGACAGGGGTACAGACTTACCCTCTAGTGAGATGTTAGACCAGGGCAGACAGGGGTACAGACTTACCCTCTAGTGAGATGTTAGACCAGGGCAGGCGTGGGTACATGAAGGTAGCGTTGGTGATCTGCTGACCGATGTCCTCATCCTCGTTTAAGGGGAATGTTCCACTCAGGCTGACGTACAGGACCACGCCCACAGCCCACATGTCCAGCGAGCGGTTGTAACCATGGCTACTGATGACCTCGGGCGCCAGGTAGGCCTGCGTGCCCACCACTGAGCGGCGGAAAGACTTCTCGCCGATTATGCGGGCGAAGCCAAAGTCACACAGCTTTACCTGAGAGGAAGGAGAGGAGTCACTGTAAAGTCTGATGTTGGAAGGATTATTAACCAAGTAGACAGTCTCACAGACAAACTGAGGGAGATTGACAAGTGTACACACACATGCATGCCCGCACACACACACACACACACACACACACACACACACCAACCTGAGGGAAGGGGTCTGGGGAAGCCAGCAGCACATTCTCAGGTTTAAGATCACAGTGAGCGATGTGTTTGAAGTGCAGATATCGCAGGGCCTCTAGAATCTACACACACACACACACACACACACACACACAATAGTATGTGAGTCAACAAGGAATCAAAATCAACTGATTTCAGAATCAATGGAATCTTTGAGGTGATTTTACAGAGAGTGGCATATGCAGCAAATGATGACAGGCAAGTATTACATTTCACCAGAAGAACTGCTTCAGTACTGCAGACTGTTGAAGAAATAATCAGTGTTCCATTGCTACGTGACCAGTACCTGCGTAACCAGGAAGCGTGTTGTGCGCTCTGGCAGTCGCCCCTTCTCATTGGACAGAATCATCTCCAGCATGTCTCCATGGAGCTTCTCCATGACAACGAAAACATGCTCCAGAGTCTCAAACATTCCCTCCAGTAGAACTACACCCAGGTGGGACAGATTCTGGACACACACAAACACACATATACACATACACACACACACACACGGGATGGATGTTCATTTCAAATACTGTAACTCCCTATAATAGAAATGTAATACAATCACACAGATCTAGAACCTTCACCTGTAGAATTGCATGCTCGTTCCTCAACTGTCTCTCCTGTTTGGTAGGGAAACGGGTTTTGTCGATGACCTTGATGGCCACTGGGCGACCAGACTGTCTGTGGGTGCCTGGGGACGAGAGAAGACTCTTGTCACACCCTGGCTCTGGGACTCTATATGTTGAGCCAGGGTGTGTTCATTCATTGTGTTCTGTTTCTTTGTTTGGGTGTTCTAGGTTGTCTGTTTCTATGTTTGCCTGTGTGACTCCCAATCAGAGGCAACGAGTGTCAGCTGTCGGCTGGTTGTCTCTGATTGGGAGCCATATTTAACTGTCTGTGTTTCACTTTGTGTTTGTGGGTTTTTGTTCCGTGTCGGTATTGTTAACCGTGGACTTCACGAGTCGTGTTTTGTTAGTACTTTAATTAAATAAAGTCATGTTTGTTTCACACGCTGCGCCTTGGTCTACTCACTCCTACGACGATCGTGACAGAAAAACCCACCAAACCAGGACCAAGCAGCGTGTCCAGGAACACACGCAGGAGGTAACGCTGGTGGATGTCCTCCTCGGCTGGGGGCAGATTACGAAGGAGGAGGCCGTCCGGTACCGGAAGGCGATGAAGGGGGAGATCCAGGCAGGAGTGGAGAAGCGGCGTCAACCGGGCCGTGGTCGGACAGGCGAGAGGCACCCCCAATAATTTTTTAGGGGGGGGCACACGGCATGGGCGACTGGGCAGCAGGAGGCTGCCACAGGGCGAATTGGGAGATTAGGAGAGGAGGCCACCGGGTTTTGGGGGCCAGAAGGCAGGTTGGCGGAGCCTGGATGGAGAGCAGAGCCAACTCCCCGTACTCAGGCATGGCAGCATGAGACTGGGCAGGTTCCGCGGTATGCGGAGCTGCGCACTGTGCCACGAGTGGTCCGGCATAGTCCGGTACGTCCTGTGCGAGCACCCCGCACGTGTTGTGCGAAGGTGGGCATGCAGCCAGGACGGAGTGTGCCGGCTCAGCGCTCGTGGCCTCCAGTGCCTCTCCTCGGTCCCGGATATCCTGCGCCAGTGTCACGTGCTGTTATGCCAGTACGGGTACACAGCCCTGTACGTCCTGTGCTGATGCCTCACACAGAGTGTGTGAAGGTAGGCATTCAGCCAGGACGGGTTGTGGCAGCTCTTCACTCCAGGTCTCCTATCAGTCTCCATAGCCCAGTCCGGCCTGTCCCTGCTCCACGCACCAAGCCTACGGTGTGCGTCGCCAGCCCAGTCCGGCCTGTTCCTGCTCCACGCACCAAGCCTACGGTGTGCGTCGCCAGCCCTGTCCGGCCTGTCCCTGCTCCACGCACCAAGCCTACGGTGTGCGTCGACAGCCCAGCCCGGCCTGTCCCTGCTCCACGCACCAAGCCTACGGTGTGCGTCGTCAGCCTGGTCCAGCCCGTTCCTGCCACTCGCACCAAGCCAGGGGTGCGAGTCGTCAGCCTGGTCCAGCCCGTTCCTGCCACTCGCACCAAGCCAGGGGTGCGAGTCGTCAGCCTGGTTCAGCCCGTTCCTGCTACTCGCACCAAGCCCGGGGTACGAGTCGTCAGCCTGGTAAGGCCCGTCGCTGCTCCACGCATCAAGCCTAGTCCGGCACAACCCGTGCCTGGGTCATCGGTGCCAATTCAGGTACCGCTCAACTGCTCCACTAAGGAGCTGAAGCCTACCGCCCCTGCTACGTCCAGTCCAGCTCCAGCCAGCGGGGCCAGACCGGACCAGGGGCGCTATGGGGGGTTTGTTGGAGGGTGGTGGGCAAGGCCGGAGCCAGAACCGCCGCCGAGGAGGTATGCCCACCCAGCCCTCCCCTGTTTTGCTCGTATTTAGGCGCGGTCGCAGTCCGCGCCTTTAGGGGGGGGTACTGTCACACCCTGGCTCTGGGACTCTATATGTTGAGCCAGGGTGTGTTCATTCATTGTGTTCTGTTTCTTTGTTTGGGTGTTCTAGGTTGTCTGTTTCTATGTTTGCCTGTGTGACTCCCAATCAGAGGCAACGAGTGTCAGCTGTCGGCTGGTTGTCTCTGATTGGGAGCCATATTTAACTGTCTGTGTTTCACTTTGTGTTTGTAGGTTTTTGTTCCGTGTCGGTATTGTTAACCGTGGACTTCACGAGTCGTGTTTTGTTAGTACTTTAATTAAATAAAGTCATGTTTGTTTCACACGCTGCGCCTTGGTCTACTCACTCCTACGACGATCGTGACAACTCTCAGCTAGCCTAATACAAGGATAATACCCTATATAATCTAAATAGAAGAAACTCAATGCTCCTAACAGGTAATGGTATAGAAAGTATCTCTTCTAGTGTAACGTATCATATCTAGAGTGATATCATACCCACCTCTATACACCACTCCAAACTGTCCTGAACCAAGCACCTCATCAGTGAAGATCTGATAGACTGAACTGACGTCCTGAAATCCACACACACACAAACATAAATACACACGTGCCCAACACACAAACATAAATACACATGTGCCCAACACACAAATACAGTGTTATTTCCTCATCTATCCATTTCAGTCAAAACCAATGAGACTTGAGAGTTCATACACAATATAGATCCATTACCCACCCACCACCCTCCTACTAACCACTCCTACTTATTCCCCTACTTACCCCTCCCACTAACCTCTCCCATTTACCTTCCTACTTACCCTTCTACTTACCCCTCCTACTAACCCTCCTACTTATCCCTCCCACTAACCTCTCCTACTTACTCTCCTACTTACCTCTCCTACTTACCCATCATATTTACCCCTAACACGTACCCCTACCACTAACCCCTCCTACTAAACCCTCCCACTTACCCCTCCTACTTACCCCTCCCACCTAGCCCTCCCACTTACCGGTTTCTCTCCACTCTGGGGTCCATGGTCTATAACAGAAAGAGTATTCTTTGATCAAAAGCACCAATTGTCATTCTCACCATTGCTAAGGAATATGAGCATGGACATGAACATAAACTAAGTCTAACATACATTATGATGCCAGCTTTACTGAGAGACCATCCCTTGGCATGTCACTCAGAGATATGGAGAGTTTGGCCAACATTGACACAGGATGCCATGGAGGAGAGTCAGAGCGCAGAGGCACTCAGAGTGTTCAGACAGAAACCTCAATGACCAAACTCTCTAAATACATTACTCTGATGTCACTCATTGGCATGTCTCAGAACAATACTACACCATAGAGTTTCTAAACCCAGAGGTGCAACATTGTGAGACTTCTGGGATTATTTGCGAAACAAAGCAGACCAGGCGGGGTTTGGGGTCAATAGGCCGTGTTCAAAACTGCAATGTATCATGGATAAATTGTGACTGACTGACTGATCTACAAATAATAATGAGTCGTTATTTATGATGAGGTGATTTCCAGTCGTTTTGATGCTCTAGAACACGGCCGTTGAGAGAAGTGACAAATTCTTCGTTCGTTTTCTCGAAATCTAAAGGCATGACCTCGATTCCAATGTCTTAAGTAGTTGAACATGTTATTCAGGGTTGCCATGTTCGCGGTGTTCCTGTACATTTTTCTACTTTGAAAACGATGTCGCGGGCGAAAATGTATTGGTTGAGGGTTTTTGGGCTACTTCTAAATTGCAACGTGGCATTTCTCTTTTTTTAATGATCTATTCATTTCACTGTGACCTGCTGCTGATTATCAGGCAGTGAGGCAGGCTGCTGTTGCGAGTTAGTGAGTGGTGGCGGGGAAGGAGCTTCATGTACAGTCATTGGAAGGGAGGCAGTGAGATGTGAGATTCAACAACGAACAGCAGCGCTAGCTAGCTACATACTTCTCCCTCAAAATTCTTCTTTGCTTCATTCTTTGTATCCTGAGCGCCCCTAGTCCAACCAATCATTACAGCCAACACAGCAAGAGAGAGAAACTGATCAATAATAATCCAAACGTTTCTGAGAGACGATCGAACAATGTGCTTCCTCTGGGTATGTAGCTAGCTAGCTAACATTGGCCAAAAAGTTGAAGTCAGAGAGAGGGAGTAACGTGCAGAGGTGAAGACAGAGGAACGAACCGATTTGACAGCTAGTCTACTGGCTAGACACGATTCTACTGTTCAGAATGCCAGGTAAATGGGCGAAAAATTGGCGAAAATATTGCAAAGACTGGGAAAGAGAACGGGGTATAATGGAATGGATTAAAAGCATCCAAGGAAATGACAGAAAAGCTTACTGTAGGTAACGTTATCTCAAATCAGCAATGTGAGCCCACCACGCCAATCTTATTTCTCATGCACAAACGGAGAAACACCAGATAAATGCTGCTCCATTTTCTAATGCAAGAACATTGTTTGACACAGGAACTACATCTGTAAGAGATAATAACATAGTTAAACGATCAGAGTTACAGATGGCTGCACATATTGCATGCCACTCCAGCATTGCAACTGTAGATCATCTGGGATGTGTTGTTGAAGACATTGCTAAGAAAGGAATCAATATCCACAGAACACAATGCACAGATCTCATAAATGCAGTTACAGGGCCTGCAGTGCATGAGGAACGAATAAAGGACATTGGGAATGAGTCTTACTCATTGATTATTGATGAAAGTACTGATGTCACCACCAAGAAGCAACTTTGTTTGGTGATAAGATACAACAGTAAGAAACGATCTCAAATCAGAAGCACATTTGGAGGAATAATCAACATTCCAGCTGGTGCTTCACTGACCATTGCCAATGCCTTGTTCAAGTTTCTTGATGACAATAAATTGCCCATTGACATCTATCTCTGTCTGTTCCTCTACTCTCTGTCTCTGTTATGTGGTGATGGGGAATGGCAGCTGCACCAACTTGTATGGGGATCACCAGCATGTACCTCCTTTGGCCCCTCACTGGCTGGAACCTTGTTGCTGAGGGTCCCCTAAAGTCCAAGAAATGGCTTCAATCTGGTAGTGGGGCTCCTGGTTGGCCTAACCCAGCAATTTGTGGGTGAGCACAACACATACACACTTCCTTCAGTCATCTGTCGGTAGTGTCTCATTCCCCCTGTTTATCTAACTCGTCCCTCATGATACATTTGAATAGATGATATATCTGTCTTTTCCTCTACTCTCTGTAGAGCAACATATGGATAAGAGTGTCTGCTAAATGACCAAAATGTAAATGTAAATATGGGTAATTGCAGCAGCAGCACCAACTTGTATTGGGATCACCTTATCGTCAAGATGGAGGGCTACTACCAAACCAGCACTACTGTTTTGGTGAGTACTTATAACACATTAAATTACATGAAATAAAAGAAGCCAAAAAGCAAACTGTTGGGGCTTTTAGATTTTATACTCCAGTTTAAAGGAATATGGTTATTTTAGAACAATGTGACTTGTTTTAACACTATTTCACAATGATTAACATTGTGTTAAAACCATTTCACAAGAATGTTTTCTGAAAAAAATATACCTCTTAACCATTTACTATCAATGACTTCTATAGTTCAGATTAAATCACTTGGTGTGATGAACCAATAACAAAGGGAGAAATGCGGAGAAGCAATTTGACCATAAGTATTTAGATTGTCATTATGGAGACACCTTTGGATAAATGTGCAAACTCCTCCCTTGCTTCTGAAAAAGAATGGGCTAGTTTTCAGGCCTTATTGGCAGGTTTTCAGTGGACATTGGGCTATACATTTTTGCTTCACCTGGCAACACTGATGTTACTACTCCAACTTCGTGAAAGTGACAAACTAACGTTTTCTTTTTCATCAACAACTTTATATTCGACGGACTGTCCATGCGCAGTTCGGAGCGAGACGACCGTTAGACCCGATGACATGTTCCTGCACATGAGCTTAGCTAGCCAACGTCGCCATCACAAGTGTGATCGGGGATTCTGCCTGTCTTCATACTGTACTGTCTTTGACTACACTTCTACCACAGTCCAAACATGCTAGCTACCTCTCTGACTCACCCTGTCCCTGTTTGCCTGCCTGCCCGCTGCTCTGGACGGGCATCAGAGCCTGGCGTACAGCGGTCTCCCAGGCCTGCCCGTCGCTGCCCGCCAGCACACTGTATACCAGCGTGACCGTCACCACCTCGAACGAGTAGGCACTGTTGCCTGGCAACATGGGGCCAGACAGCTGGGCGGGGCCTCGCACCTGCAGCACGTTAGATAGAGGAAGCTCCTAGAGAGGGAGGGTGAGAAAGGAAGAGGGTAAGGAGAATGGATGAAAATGTAAGGGAAAGGGTGAGACATGGGATAAAGGACAGAAAAAAAAACATATTTGTTGATGTTGATATTCTATTTGGCCACTAGAGGTTAGTACTGTCATGTTGAGGTGACTGTGACTGGCATTGGTTTGGTAAATGCTAGATGAACCTTTCATCCCATGTAACCTACCTTGTAGTACTTGGTGCTGGTCTCATTCTGATACAGAGTGATATTCTTCGAGTCCAATATCCAGTAATGACGTTTCCTCTGACAGACACAATAGGAAAGTATGGTATAAGTGTTCTCTCTCTCTGTGTGTGTGTGTGTGTGTGTGTGTGTGTGTGTGTGTTTGTGTGTGTGTGCATAGCCGCGGGAAGTAGGGGTGCTGAGGGTCCTGCAGCACCCCCTGAAAAATCAGAATAAAAATTAAATATATATTTTTTGAGAAGAAAATAATAATCACAAAAGTAGTGCACTGGCCTTTACTAGTTAGTATTAGCGGACCAATATTGACATCTGTAGCACGGGCAAAACATTTTTTTCAGCATCTCCGCTTTGGCCAAAAAGGTAGCTGTATAATTAAGAATAGTATATTGCAGGAATTCAGTAGTTGGAATTGTAAGAGTTGTTGCCCTGTCCCTTTCTCTGCAATTGTCATTCTAATGGAATCCAGAAAGAACAAAACCCTGTCCTCAAACATTTACATCAAAAGGTACAGTTATGGGCAAAGACACAAAACATCCACATCAAATTAAATATTTTTCTTGATCAAATAACATGGAAAACAACCACTTTTTGTGCAGTATTAACTTACTATCCTTACAAACCACTTAATGTAAATGTACATTACTGTATTGTACATAGGCTGGTCATCTAGGTTTGTACCTGTAGACTTTCCATCACCATGAAGAAAAACAATGCACAATACAGTAATTGAGTACATTGAGACATCAAGTGGTTTGTGATGATGTGTGATGACATGGCTCAGTTGGTAGAGCATGGTGCTTGCAACACTAGGGTTGAGGGTTCAAATCCCACAGGGGACCAGTATGAAAATGTATTCACTCACTACTGTAAGTTACTCTGGATAAGAGTGTGTAGTAAAAGGAATGAATAGACCATTTCAGTTTTAACAGAAATAAGTTGGATTTGCAAAGTAATTCAAGAAACTGGAAAACAAGCAAATATTTTTATATTCCAAAAGTATTATCAGATTAAGTGTTTTGTAAAGATAATTATCAGACTCAAGTTACAGATGCTGGTAAACACTCAAATACATGTAGTTTACATTTTTTCACAAAAGTAGTGCACTGGGCCTTTACTGGTCCTGTATTAATGGACCGATATAGATGTCTTCAGCGCGGGCAAATTTTTTGTCAGCTGTCTGTGTGTGTGTGTGTGTGTTCTCACCAGTGTGTCGGTGTTGGTGTGATGCAGTAGCCAGCCCTCTCTCAGGATTCCACTGGCCCGTCTCTTAGTGTGACGAACTGACTGGACCAACCGCATCAGGGGAATATAACTACTGAAACACGGACTGGGAGAGAGGGAGGGATGGAGGGAGAGAGGGAAGAAATAAGAGAGAGGAAGGAAGGGAGGGATGAAAGAGGGAGAGAACTATTACAACTTCAGTTACAACTTCAATGACAGACACTCATGTACTACATACTCTTATCATAAGTAAATAATCATCAAAACTCAAAATGGAAACTGAACTTTACATCGTATCATAGCCCAGCATTTTTTATCCCTCTTACGTGATTGGTGGCTGGTGTCCCACCTCCTTGATTTCAGCGAATGGGTCCTCAGTAGATGGCTCGTCATCATGGTCTTCTAGTGATGTCATACTGCAGCTCATATCCTCCTCTGTGTCATCCTTATAGCCCAGGCTGGACACTGAGTCTGTGTGACATCCTTTACTACATCAATACTAAACTACAATACTAAACCACAATACTAAACTGTCATTGAACAAGTAAATATAGTACACAGTCAGTTACATTTGCAGTTTTTTCTTTAATCTTGAAAGCATTAGCAATAGCTTTGACATTTACGGCCATTATGTTCATGGGTTTGTCATTGTATCTCACCTCCTTCCCCATTGGTGTTCCTCCTCTCTCCAGGACAGTCGGCGGGGACAAGGGAGGACTCACAGCGACGATGGCAGTTCAGCTTACAGTCTGGAGGGAGGGAGGGAGGGAGAGAGAGAGAGAGAGAGAGAGGTCAACATCAGAACATAGACTACTGACACAGCTGTAACACAAGATGTATAATCTGACCAAGTGATTGACATACCTGCTTCAGAAACGTATGATTAGAAAAAGCATCATACATGTATTTAGTACCCCCATGACCACCCTCCCCATCTGAAGTATGACCATCGACCCCTGACCTCTGGCCCCTCTCACCGGAGCACTGCAGGCCCTGGCGGAACAGACCCTTGAGGAGGTGGTAGCAGTGTTGGCACACGGTGGGCTTGGTGTAGCTGTGGATGTGGAAGGTGTGTGGCACCCTGGCCCTGCCCGTCACGTCACCCTTTCCCTGGCTCACTCCCAGCCACACCGGGTGATCTGCCCACGACGGAGGTCTGGACCTGGGCTTGGACATACTGATCTAGAGGGGGAGGGGAAGAGGGAGAGAGGGGTAAGAGGGAGAGGGAGAGAGGGGTAAGAGGGAGAGGGAGAGAGGGGGAAATGGAGAGAGGGGGCGAGAGGGAGAGAGAGAGAGAGAGAGAGAGAGAGAGAGAGAGAGAGAGAGAGAGAGAGAGAGAGAGAGAGAGAGAGAGAGAGAGGGAGGGAGGGAGAGAGAGAATAACAGAAAGAGTTCATGTCAGATTTTAGAATCACACACATAAATGTCACTTTAAAATAGTGGAACAGCTGCACTGCATTCAGAATAAATGGGCAAATCTTTACTTCCATTAACTCCCATTGACATCAATGCATGACTAAGTGAACATTTGGCAGTTAGGATTCAAACCATAATGAGTGGTGCTGACCTCCTCCATACTGCCCCCTGCAGGTGTGGAGAGGGAGTGTGTCCGGGGCCTGCCAGGGGGGAATAAGGACAGGCTGGTGCCACACACACGACGCCGTGCACGGCTACAGTCACTAGGCAACTTCAGCGCACACCGCTTATGAAAATCTAACCCGCAACCTACAGAGAAGAGGGGGGGGGGGGAGATGTGAGACATAATTAAGACAAAATCGGAGAATTGGAAAATCGATTTAGGTAAAATTGTATTACGACGAAGAATTCAACACAATTCAACATGAAATAAATAGTGACGTTTCTTACAGTGATTAATGACATGATATACACTACCAGTCAAAGGTTTTGACACCTACTCATTCAAGGGTTTTTCCTTATTTTTACATTGTAGAATAATAGTGAAGACATAAAAACTATGAAATAACACATATGGAATCATGTAGTAAACAAAAAAAGTGTTAAACAAATCAAAGTATATTTTATGTTTTAGAATCTTCAAATAGCCACCCTTTGCCTTGATGACAGCTTTGCACACTCTTTGCATTCTCTCAACCAGCTTCACCTGGAATGCTTTTCCAACAGTCTTGAAGGAGTTCCCACATATGCTGAGCACTTGTTGGCTGCTTTTCCTTCACTCTGCGGTCCGACTCATCCCAAACCATCTCAATTGGGTTGAGGTCGGGGGATTGTGGAGGCCAAGTCATCTGATGCAGCACTCCATCACTCTCCTTCTTGGTAAAATAGCCCTTACACAGCCTGGAGGTGTGTTGGATCATTGTCATGTTGAAAAACAAATGATAAGCCCAAACCAGATGGGATGATGTATCGCTGCAGAATGCTGTGGTAGCCATGCTGGTTAAGTGTGCCTTGAATTTTATATAAATCACAGAGAGTGTCACCAGCAAAGCACCCCCACACCATAACACCTCCTCCTCCATGCTTTAAGGTGGGAAATACACATGCAGAGATCATCCGTTCAACCACACCGCGTCTCACAAAGACACGGTGGTTGGAACCAAAAATCTCCAATTTGGACTCCAGACCAAAGGACAAGTTTCCACCGGTCTAATGTCCATCGCTCGTGTTTCTTGGCCCAAGCAGGTCTCTTCTTCTTATTGGTGTCCTTTGGTAGTGGTTTCTTTGCAGCAATTCGACCATGAAAGCCTGATTCACACAGTCCCCTCTGAACAGTTGATGTTGAGATGTGTCTGTTACTTGAACTCTGTGAAGCATTTATTTGGGCTGCAATTTCTGAGACTGGTAACTCTAATGAACTTATCCTCTGCAGCAGAGTTAACTCTGGGTCTTCCATTCCTGTCGCGGTCCTCATGAGAGCCAGTTTCATCATAGCGCTTGATGGTTTTTGCGACTGCACTTGAAGAAACGTTCAAAGTTCTTGAAATGTTCCGTATTGACTGAACTTCATGTCTTAAAATAATGATGGACTGTCATTTCTCTTTGCTTATTTGAGCTGTTCTTTCCATAATATGGACTTGGTCTTTTACCAAATAGGGCTATCTTCTGTATAGTCAGAAATAAAGAAAAACCCTGGAATGAGTAGGTGTGTCCTAACTTTTGACTGGTACTGTAAAGGATAAAGTATTACTGTATCTACTTCCTTACCTTCACATTTTAACCCTTGACGTACCAGCCCCCACAGCATCTCCCCACAGTGATGACAGAAGGTAGGGGTGCGATATGATTGGACAGCCAGGGAGTGTGGGCGGATCTTTATCTCCGTCAGAGTAGCTGATCCTAAGTCAGATCAGAAAGAGCAGATATTCTATCACTTTATCTGGACACTTAAAGTAGTACATTTCAGTACATTCAATGAACCATATGTGGGCCCCGGTCAAAAGTAGTGCACTACAAAGGGAATAGGGTGCCATTTGGGACGCGACCCCGGTCTGACCTGAGAGGATGATCTCTATGAGGTCACCGTCCAGCAGTGCATCCTGGTCCGTGAGTCTGTGGAGGAGGTGTTCTGAGCCTGTCTGGTGTCTGAACAGGAGGACCTTCTCCCCAACACCCACCACACTACAGTCTGGAGCCTGCAGTACACAGGTAGGGACAAGATCAATCAGTTAGTCAATAAATCTATAAATCGGTTGATCGATCAATCAAGGCAGAGCAGGAGAGACTGTGAGATTATAGAGGAGGTCTTTCGTCCTGATTAGCATCATCGAAAGTTTCTTCAAAAGCAGACAGACAGTTGGCGTTGAGTGAGGGGCAGGCCATTATAGAGCGAGAGACTGGTCATGGAACAATGTGAGGGCTGTCGTTGTCATTAGATATTCAAATCAGATGGAAACAAGTGTGAGTGTGGGTTGGTTTGTGTGTTTGTTCCTATAGACATACAAGTTCTCACACAAAGACTACACAGGCCAGTTGACCTGCTGCCTGGAAACAGTCAGAAGATCAAAGGAAAGTGGGCTGATTTGAGCGAGACAGGCACGGATGTATGTGTCTGTGTGTGTGTGTGGAAGGCTGTGGTTGGAAAGTTAGCTACCCACAGCAACCACACGGCAGCCCCTCTGGCTGATGAAGTAACATGGCCATCTCTCACTAAGGTGTGGTAGAGACAGAGAGAGAGAGAGAGAGGGGGGGGGGGGGGGGGGGGGGGGAGAGAGAGAGAGAGAGAGAGAGGGGGGAGAGAGAGAGAGAAAGGGGGGAGAGTTAGAGAGAAGGGAGAGAGAGACGGAGAGAGACAAGATACAGAGTGAGAGAGGGGAGAGTGAGAGAGGGGAGAAAGAGAGATGGAGGAGAGAGAGAGAGAGAGAAGGGAGAGAGAGAGACAGAGAAGGGGGGGAGATAGGAAGAGAGAGAGAGAGAGGAGGGGGGGAGACAGGGGGAGAGAGAGAGAAATGTTTCTCATCTCCACTGACCAAAATGTATTTGTGTGAGCTACATATATACTCCATCAGAATCCCCTCACTACAAGGAAGAGAGCTTCTCTTTTTTATACATTTTTATTTCACCTTTATTTAACCAGGTACGCCAGTTGAGAACAAGTTCTCATTTACAACTGCGACCTGGCCAAGATAAAGCAAAGCAGTGCGATAAAAACAACAACATAGAGTTACATATGGGGTAAACAAAACATAAAGTCAAAAATACAACAGAAAATATATATACAGTGTGTGCGAATGTAGTAAGTTATGGAGGTAAGGCAATAAATAAATAGGACATAGTGCAAAAATAGTTACAATTTCGTAATTAACACTGGAATGATAGATGTGCAAAAGATGATGTGCAAATAGAGATACTGGGGTGTAAATTAGCAAAAATAAATAACAATATGGGGATGAGGTAGTTGGGTGGGCTAATTTCAGAATGACTGTGTACAGGTGCAGTGATCGTAAGCTGCACTGACAACTGACGCTTAAAGTTAGTGAGGGAGATAAGAATTTCCAGCTTCAGAGATTTTTGCAGTTCCAGTCATTGGCAGCAGAGAACTGGAAGGAATGGCGGCCAAAGGAGGTGTTGGCTTTGGGGATGACAAGTGAGATATACCTGCTGGAGCGTAGCCTACGGGTGGGTGTTGCTATGGTGACCAGTGAGCTAAGATAAGACGGGGATTTGCCTAGCAGTGATTTATAGATGACCTGGAGCCAGTGGGTTTGGCAACGAATATGTAGTGAGGGCCAGCCAACAAGAGCGTACAGGTCACAATGGTGGGTAGTATATGGGGCTTTGGTGACAAAATGGATGGCACTGTGATAGACTACATCCAATTTGCTGAGTTGAGTGTTGGAGGCTATTTTGTAAATGACATCGCCGAAGTCAAGGATCGGTAGGATAGTCAGTTTTACGAGGGCATGTTTGGCAGCATGAGTGAAGGAGGCTTTGTTGCGAAATAGGAAGCCGATTTTAGATCTAACTTTTGATTGGAGATGCTTAATGTGAGTCTGGAAGGAGAGTTTACAGTCTAACCAGACACCTAGGTATTTGTAGTTGTCCACATACTCTAGGTCAGACCCGCCGAGAGTAGTGATTCTAGTCGGGTGGGCGGGTGCAAGCAGCGTTCGGTTGAAGAGCATGCATTTAGTTTTACTAGTGTTTAAGAGCAGTTGGAGGCTACGGAAGGAGTGTTGTATGGCGTTGAAGTTCGTTTGGAGGTTTGTTAACACAGTGTCCAATGAAGGGCCAGATGTATACAAAATGGTGTCGTCCGCATAGAGGTGGATCCGAGCGTCACCAGCAGCAAGAGCGACATCATTGATATACACAGAGAATAGAGTCGGCCCGAGAATTGAACCCTGTGACACCCCCATAGAGACAGCCAGAGGTCCAGACAACAGGCCCTCCGATTTGACACATTGAACTCTATCTGAGAAGTAGTTGGTGAACCAGGCGAGGCAGTCATTAGAGAAACCAAGGCTATTTAGTCTGCCAATAAGAATGCGGTGGTTGACAGAGTCGAAAGCCTTGGCCAGGTCGATGAAGGCGGCTGCGCAGTACTGTCTTTTATCGATCGCGGTTATAATATCGTTTAGGACCTTGAATGTGGCTGAGGTGCACCCATGACCAGCTCGGAAACCGGATTGCATAGCGGAGAAGGTACGGTGGGATTCAATATGGTCGGTGATCTGTTTGTTAACTTGGCTTTCAAATACTTTCGAAAGGCAGGGCAGGATGGATATAGGTCTGTAACAGTTGAAGGGGGATGACCGCGGCAGCTTTTCAATCTCTGGGGATCTCAGACGTTACGAAAGAGAGGTTGAACAGGCTAGTAATAGGGGTTGAGACAATTAGAAGTTAGAAAGAAAGGGTCCAGATTGTCTAGCCCAGCTGATTTGTAGGGGTCCAGATTTTTCAGCTCTTTCAGAACATCAGCTGGGGGGGGGGGCATCATGGGCAAGTTGCAGCGGAGGGTGCAGAGCTGGTGGCCGGGGTAGTGGTAGCCAGGTGGAAAGCATGGCCAGCCATAGCAAAATGCTTGTTGAAATTCTCGATTATTGTAGATTTATCGGTGGTGACAGTGTTTTCTAGCCTCAGTGCAGTGGGCAGTTGGGAGGAGGTGCTCTTATTTTTCATGGACTTTACAGTGTCCCAAAACGTTTTGGAGTTAGTGCTACAGGATGCAAATTTCAGTTTGAAAAAGCTAGCCTTTGCTTTCCTAACTGATTGTGTATATTGGTTCCTGACTTCCCTGAAAAGTTGCATATCGCGGGGGCTGTTCGATGCTAATGCAATACGCCACAGGATGTTTTTGTGCTGGTCAAGGGCAGTCAAGTCTGAGGAGAACCAGGGGCTATATCTGTTCTTAGTTCTGAATTTTTTGAATGGGGCATGCTTATTTAAGATTGAGAGGAAAGCACTTTTAAAGAACAACCAGGCATCCTCTACTGACGGAATGAGGTCAATATCCATCCAGGATACCCGGGCCAGGTCAATTAAAAAAGCCTGCTCACTAAAGTGTTTTAGGGAGCGTTTGACAGTGATGAGGGGTGGTCTTTTGACCGCGGACCCATTACGGACGCAGGCAATAAGGCAGTGATCTCTGAGATCCTGGTTGAAGACAGCGGAGGTGTATTTAGAGGGTACATTTGTCAGGATGATATCTATGAGGGTGCCCATGTTTACAGATTTAGGGTTGTACCTGGTAGGTTCGTTGATAATTTGTGTGAGATTGAGGGCATCTAGTTTAGATTGTAGGTTGGCCGGGGTGTTAAGAATATCCCAGTTTAGGTCACCAAGCAGTACGAACTCTGAGGATAGATGGGGGGCATGAGGATAGATGGGGGGCAATCAGTTCACATATGGTGTCCAGGGCACAGCTCGGGGCTGAGGGGGGTCTGTAGCAAGCGGCAACAGTGAGAGACTTATTTCTGGAAAGGTGGATTTTTAGAAGTAGAAGCTCAAACTGTTTGGGCACAGACCTGGATAGCACGATAGAGCTCTGCAAGCTATCTCTACAGTAGATTGCAACCCCACCCCCTTTGGCAGTTCTATCGAGACGGAAAATGTTGTAGTTGGGGATGGACATTTCTGAATTTTTTCCTAAGCCAGGATTCAGACACTGCTAGAACATCAGGGTTGGCGGAGTGTGCTAACGCAGTGAATAACTCAAACTTAGGGATTAGGCTTCGGATGTTAACGTGCAAGAAACCAAGGCTTTTACGGTTACAGACATCAGCAAATGATAACGCCTGGGGAGTAGGAGTGATACTGGGGGCTACAGGGCCTGGGTTAACCTCTGCATCACCAGTGGAACAGAGGAGGAGTAGAATAAGGATACGGCTAAAGGCTTTAAGTACTGGTCTTCTAGTGCGTTGGGTACAGAGAAAAAAAGGGGCAGATTTCCAGGCGTTGTAGAATAGATTCAGCGCATTATGTACAGACAAGAATATGGAAGGATATGAGTACAGTGGAGGTAAACCTAAGCGTTGGGTAACGATGAAAGAGATAGCATAGCTGGAGGCACCGATTGAGTCGGTCTCCGCGTGTATGGGGGGTGGGACAAAGGAGCTATCTAAGGCAGGTTGAGCTTGGCTGGGGGATCTACATTGAAATAGTACAATAAGAAATAACCGAAACAGCAATAAGCAAGGCATATTGACATGGGAGAGAGGCATAAAGCAATCTAGAAGAGGAGATCAATCATTTCCAGGCCCAAGGAAATGTTCTGATCTGTGGGGATCTTAATACTAGAACTGGAGAAGAACCAGATACTATTAGCACACATGGGGACAAACACATACCTACAAACATCCTCTGCCCTCATATCCCCCCATGAAGAACTTTGATAAAAACAACAGAAATGGGAACCAACTACTGCAGCTCTGTGGAACGCTGGGTCTGTACATAGTCAATGGAAGGCTACGAGGGGACTCTTTTGGGAGGTACACATACATACAGCTCACCTCTTGGCAGTAGTACTGTAGACTTAGATCCAGTGGCTTACAGAGCATTCACAGTCAGCCCACTAACACCACTGTCAGACCATAGCAAAATTACAGCATATCTAAAAAGGGCAGAAACAAACCAGAAGGGAGAAGAGCCCAGTAAATTACACAAGACCAATGAGTCCTATAGATGGACTAAGAATAGCATGGAAAACTAGCAGAAACCTGGTCCACACATATCATCACAGTAAGGAAGGTGTACATTTGGTTGTACAAAACATAAGCACATTTTTGGGACACATCCTTATCCAATTTTAAAAAGACACCAAAAAACTATTCAAAAAAGACAATTATGAAAAATTGATTGATTATGATTGCAAATCCATAAGAAAAAAAGGTAAAAATCTATCCAACCAAAAATATAGGGAACCAGACCACCAGGATCTGCGCCTTCAGTATTGGACAACCCTAAAAGAATACAAACTGACTCTCAGAACAAAGAACCACACATTAGACACCAACTTAATAAAATTGAGGAATCATTTGATTCAAACAACTTCTCGGAAAATTGGAACTCTACAAATAAAACCACACTGAGAAAAATTGCCAATCCAAAATGACCTATGGAACACTCACTTTAAAGAACTATATAGACATATTGAAATGAATTCAGAACAAAAATAAATCTATGATAAACTGCAAATTCTTGAATCAGCCATTAAAGACAACCAGAACCCATTGGATTCCCCAGTCACACAAAAATAACTATTGGAAAAAATACAGGCCCTGAAAGTCAGAAAAACTTGTGGTACTGACGGAATATTGAACAAAATGATATAATACACAGACCACAAATGTAGCACTGCCATACTCAAACTATTTAACAAAGTTTTGAGTGTAGGCTATTTCCCTGACATCTGGAACACCAATAGATTTTTTTTAAATGACTAATTTCATCCAAACAATTACCATGACATTTGTGTCAACAGCAACCTGGCGAAAATATTCTGCACCTTCATGAAAAGCAGATTCTTTCACTTTCTCAATGAACACAATGTCCTGAGCAAGCATTCCTACCAAATGTTTCGAACATCAGATTGTATTTATACCCTAAACACTCTAATTGATAAACATGTGAATCAAAACAAAACAAACACTTTCTCCTGCTTTGTGGAAATCCAATTTGGCATGAAGACATTTTTTTCAAATTAATTGAAAGTGGTGTGTGTGGAAAAACATCAGATGTCATCAAATCAATAACAAATGCGCAGTTAAAATTGGAAATAAACATACAAATGTATTTTCCTAAGGGTGCGGAGTGAAACAGGGGAACAACTAGAACTTAAGTCTATTTATTCATATATACATGAATGAATTGGCGTAAACACTAGAACAACAGCCCCCGGTCTCACTCTTAACAACACAGAAATAAAATGCCTCTTGTATGCAGATGACCTGGTGCTACTGTCCCCCACAGAAGAGGGTTTACAGGAACAATTAGATCATCTGCAACAGTTCTGTCAGACCTGGGCCCTGACAGTCAATCTCAAAAAGACAAAAATGATGATATTCCAGAAAAGATCCAGATGTCAGGGAAACCGATATTTTTACTGGGCTCCACTCATATAGAACATACACACATCTACACATATTTGGGACTAAAAATCAGCTCCACAGGGAACTTCAACCTGGCCGTGAATGAACTGAAAGACAAAGCAAGGAGGGCTTTCTATGCCATTCAAATATCTATTAAATTAAACCAATTAGGATCTGGCTCAAAATATTCAACTCAATAATAGAACCATCCAAAAGAAAGGAGAACCAAGGCACTCTTCATATAATTAATGAAACTGCCTTTATTTGTGTGGCATGTTCAATGGAAACAATAATAAATCTATAAATCTATAATAGAACCAATTGCACTTTATGGCAGTGAAGTGTGGGATCCGTTTACAAAATAAGATTTTGACAAATGGGACAAACACCCAACTGAAACCCTGTATGTGGAATTCTGTAAGAGCATCCTCAGAGTACAGAGAAAAACTCAAAAAAACGCATGCAGAGCAGAATTAGGCCAATTCCCTTTTCTGATTAATATCCTAAAAAGAGACACCAAATGTTATAATAGTCCCCTCAGCCAGCTGGTTCTGAGGCTTGGTTCACTAACCACTAACCCAACAAAGCCTCAGGCACTCACACAATCTGGCCCAACAACATTATCATCAAGCAAAAATAAAAAATATATCACCTATTGGAAAGAAACCACAAAAAATCTAAGTAAACTTCAATGCTATTTGACCACTGTGACGGATAGAAAACTGAGGAAAACACAAACTAAATGTATGTATGGACTCAGTGAGCACAGCCTGGCCATAGACCGGTCGTCACAGGTAAACCTGGCTGCTCAGAGAGGACAGGCTGTGCTCATTCTGCCCCCAGGAAGAGATAGAGACAGAGTTGTATTTTCTGTCAAACTGTGACAAAATGCTGTGTTTTAGCAGCCAAATGTGTGGCCTCCTCCCACCACCTGAAGGACAGCCAGTGAGAAGTAGAGTGTGATTATTCATATTTGCCTATTCCTTATTGTTATGTGTTTGCATTGCTGTTGATATGAGTATGATTATTGTTATTATTGCTTAATTACAAACAGTCAAGTATATGATGGTCTTCGACCATCGTCGCTATATATTTACTTTGACAATGTAAGTGTTTACTTTCCATGTCAATAAAGTATACTGAATTGAATTAACAGAGACAGAGAGGGGAGAGAGAGAAACAGAGAGAAAGAGACAGAAAGAGAGAGATAGAGAGCACAAAAGAGAACGATTTTAGCCCCTGTATGGTATCACAATGATAGTCAGAGTAGTTGGCTAACATAAAACACACACAAAACATTAGGAACACCTGCTCTTTCCATGACATAGATTTACCAGTTTAATCTAGGTGAAAGCTATGATCCCTTATTGATGTCAATTGTTAAATCCACTTAAATCCCTGTAGATGAAGGGGAGGAGACAGGTTAAATAACAATCATTTTTATGCCTTGAGGCAATTGAGACATGGATTGTGTATTTGTGCCATTCGGAGGGTGAATGAGCAACACAAAATATTTAAGTGCCTTTAAACGGGGTATGGTAGTGGATGCCAGGCGCACCGGTTTGTGTCAAGAACTGTAATGCTGCTGGGTTTTTCAAGCTCAACAGTTTCCTGTGTGTATCAAGAATGGTCCACCACCCAAAGGACATCCAGACAACTTGACACAACTGTGGGAAGCATGGAGGTCAACATGGGCCAGCATCCCTGTGGAACGCTTTCAACACCTTGTAGAGTCCATGCCCTTACAAATTGAGGCTGTTCTGAGGGCAAAAGGGGGTGCAACTCAATATTAGGAAGGTGTTCCTAATGTTTTGTACACTCAGGTGTATATACCGTCACCTCCAAAATTATTGGCACCCTTGTTAAAGATGAGTAAAAAATATTGCATAAAATAAATAATATATATACTGAGCTATATTTTATGCTCCAAAAAAGTAGAAAATTATATTATTTTATACTAATACAATTGGTCAGAGAAAGAGATTTTGTTTAACAAGTCATACTTTTAATAGATCCCTTAATAGAAAATGACTCAAGTAAAAGTGAAAATCACCCAGTAAAATACTACTTGAGTAAAAGTCTAAAAGTATTTGGTTTTAAATATACTTAAGTATCAAAAGTTAATGTAATTGATTAAAAGTAAAAGTAAAAGTAAAAGTAGGAATAATGAAAAATTCCTTATATTAAGCAGACCAGACGGCACAGTAAAATAAATACAAAATGCATTTACGGATAGCCAGGGGCACACTCCAACAAAGCATTTGTGTTTAGTGAGTCCGCCAGATCAGAGGCATTAGGGATAACAAGGGATGTTCTCTTGATAAGTGTGAATTGGACCATTTTCTGTCCTGCTAAGCATTCAAAATGTAACAAGTACTTTTGGGTGTCAGGGAAAATGTATGGAGTAAAAAGTACATTATTTTCTTTAGGAATGTAGTGAAATAAAAGTAGTCAAACATATTAATAGTAAAGTAAAGTACAGATACTCCAAAAAATGACTTAAGTAGTACTTTAAAGTATTTTTACTTAAGTACTTTACACCACTGCTTTCCCCATGGTGATAGATGACAAATTGATTTTACGTGTGTTACCTCATTTTTATACCCCAGTGGCACAGGAAACCATGGAAGGCCACAATACAGTTCCTTAAAAAAGGTAGAACATTAATGCAGATTTAATTTTGCTTGATTTTATCTCTAAGAATCTTTAGCAGTAGCAATAACCTTTACACCTTTCGTTTTGAGAAAAAAAATGGTTACTTGTTAAACAAAATCAATTTTTCTGAGCAATTGTATTCGTTTAAAATAATAAAATGTTCTCATTTATTTTGAGCATACAATATAGCTCAGAATTTGTATTATTTATTTTATAGTCTTTTGTGCTCATCTTTATCAAAGGTGCCAATAATTTGGGAGGTGACTGTATGTAGGTTTATGGGTTGACCTTGCGTTTGATGGTCTCTTCTGCCAGTCTCTTGGTATGACAGTAGCTGAGCTGCCCCTGAGACACCCGCACCACCTCCCTGAAGAGGCCTAGCTGGAACTGGACCAGAGCAGGGCCGAGAGGAGCCTGGAGGGGGGGTCGACCAGGGGTACCGGGGATGGACGGGGTCGTCGACATGCTGGAGAGAGAACCTACAGGTGAAGACAAGAGGGACATGGTAGAAAAGCAATAAACAATATTGATTGATTGATTGGTTTGTTAATGCACCAAACTATTGATTATTGCATGTTGCACTGTTCAAATGAAAACAACTGAGGGCATGAATCTACTACACATAGAACTTCTTCATGTAGTAGCTGCAAGTGAAGATGTTTTGCTGGCACTTAAAGCTATGAAGAACATTTATCATTTCTTCATCAGTTTCCATTAACCTAAAGTACCTTAGTGAGCATTGGTTTCCAATAGAGTGAAAAAAACAACCTTACTTGATATTCCAGAGTCCATATGGTCCAGTTTACACCTTCCAGGCCTGCAAAACATCCATCTTAGCAGCCTGATCTCCTCTCCTTCAATAGACACTCTTAAAAGTATGGTTACTGTTGTGAACCTTTTCTTCAGAAGTACACTGGTGGGTTTGGTTTCCTCCTGTGAGGCTGTAGGCTTTTAACAGTGACAGGAAGCCACTGTGTCACTCACCTCTGTGTGGTGCGTCCTCCACTAGGAACCCCGTTAACACCCTCAGCCCAGGGTGTGAACACACACAGATACTGAAGCCCATACCACCATTATCACTTACCCAATAAATATGACACATTGGTTTACGTGAAATAGAACTGCGAACTCCTCTTCCAGGATGCTCCTAGTTATACATTCAATATAACACAAACTAATTTCAATCATTGTGTTAAAAGAATGATGATACAAACAGATCAGAATCAGTTTGAAAAGTGGAGTTTTTCTTTATTGAACCTTTAATAAAATATACACGAGATTGTTGGCCACTAACAATGAGATCCATTATTGTAGTAGAATGCTCCCCCCTCCACTCCTACCTCCATTCTACAGTTTCCATAGTTACACACTGACTCACTGAGATGGTGAGGGGTGTTCTTACTTCTACATGAAAATGTGGTATACATTTGTAAGAGGAGCACTGTGTTTAGGTGTGTTTGAAACATTTGTTGGTGTGTAAATACAACGTCGACAGAGGTCTACAGACTACAGTCCAGTGTTTCTACAGACTTTTACATAGCTAGACAACGTGGGTGTTTGGGAGATAATGTGTTTGTACATGTTGAGTGTCTGTGACAAGAGATCGACAATTCTGTACATTATTTGCTGCAATGAAACTTAAAGCACTTTTCCCAGTACCTCTCTCCCAACGTTCCATTTACCATTTCTATCACTGAATCGCTCGTTTCTCACCTAACAGCACTTCATATTTCTATTTCCTGTTATCATTCATCATCAATCTTCTCTTCCTCCTTAGCCCCTCTAGCCTGTATTTGTCACATACTTAAGCTTTCGTTCCATCATCTCTTTCCCCAGTAAAATCAATATTCCATCCCATCCCCACTTTACATTGCACTAGCAACACAATCAGAAGGTGAAAATCGTTAGGACCACTCTACTTCTCAAAGACATACAGTAATATACATTCTGTGGCCAAGTCTCTTGGTATCAGTCTTGTCTTGGGAGTTTTGACTCCTAACTTACAAACAAAACAATTAAAAGAGCCAACACAATACAGTACACAGTCAACCTCCTCCCTCCCTACCCCTCACCCATGATCAAAGTAAAACCTAACATTCAAATCATCACTCATTCAGAGTTCAACAACAATACCCCGCACATCATCACTTGAGGTTGGAGCCAATCACAGACAAGAATAAGACATAAATGATAACATTTGGTGAAGGACTGTCATTGGTTAGATCAGAGAGCAGTTTTCTGTAAACCAATCAGATTCTTTCCAATAAACATAAGTCATAATAAAAGGATCATTGTTTTATATAAAAAGATAAGGACATATCATGCTCACATTATTCAGTAAAGGTCAACCAAGAACAGATAACTGATGCTACAATAACTAGAGGCCACGAGTTACATACGGTATGCCTAATGCTAACCTCTTACAGAAACAGATGCACTGTATTGTAACACATCTTAACTAATACGAGGGCATTACAACTATGTAGAGATCTAATTGTATTCGATTGGGGGAGACACATTGTGCTGTGGTAGATATGTGACCTTGCATTTGCTAAAACCAACGCACGACATAGGAGAACATTCACCTCCACAGCATCAGTCAGGCTAATGTGTTTTCAGTAACAACGCCACCAGATCACGGAAGAGAAATCGGACTTCAGTGGTGGAGCTAAACAGGCATTTGTACCGCGCCATGCTAACAGGCTACACACTGACTGAGATACACTGGTATTGTTTGTCACGTCAGCATTTCCAGTATATTCCCCAGGTCTGAGATTAACTAAATTAGCCTGGTCTTGCATTCATTAGTGCACACCGTACGAAACGTTTTTGCAACCGAAAATGAAAACGAGAGTTTCTTATTGGAAAAGTCCAGATAGTTCCTCCCTGTTTCAGTCTGTTTAGTGCCTAATGAATATGAACCTGGTCTCCGATATTTTTTAGCTTTAGCCAACTCCTCTTATCTGTCACGTTCATAATTGTCTGGCAAGGCAACGAACGGAACAGTAGTTGATTAGGGCACAAACATATCTAGCCAGATCAGGCTATAGATTCAGGGGGAAATTCTAACCTCAATTTTGTCAAATTTTCACTTGATGTCAATGGGAGACTAAGTGAAAATTGGACTAGAAGTTAGGACACACATTAAGTGCCAATATTCTCCCTGTTTCTCTCTTCTCCTCAGTCTATATTCCTGTTTCTCTCTTCTCCTCAATAGTCTATATTCCCTGTTTCTCTCTTCTCCTCAATAGTCTATATTCCCTGTTTCTCTCTTCTCCTCAATAGTCTATATTCCCTGTTTCTCTCTTCTCCTCAATAGTCTATATTCCCGTTTCTCTCTTCTCTTCACTCTTTTCTTACTGTCCTCTTCCAGCGTCTGTCTCCCAATCAGAGGTTCTCCTAACCTCTAACCAGTTTAAACAAAAACCTGTCTGTGCGCTATATACAAAGAAAGAAATATAAAATAACTTAAACCTGTATATACATAACAAAAATACAGAAAAGGAGAGGTTAAACTGGTCAGTGCCGTTTTTTCTCCCAGTTGATGTTTAAATACACCAATTTATTTCCGACATCCCAAAATGATTGTGTACCATCTTTGTCTTTGACCTCGCTGAAGTTTCTAACAGCTGTAGTTCATAACTCTTTTAACTCGTCTTAAAAACATATATGATTTATATGGCTCAAGCACTGTGATACCCATTGAATGGGTTGTTAGCATTTGCAGTAATCACGCCACTAGTGAGCTGAGTGTGATGCTTCTGTAACAGAGTTAAGAACGTACCGTAACCTCACTCCACAGCTAGCCTGAAATGTCGCCGATGGAACTAACCAACTGGTACCTTTTGTATTCGGTTCGCACGTTGTCATGGAGGGCGGTCACGTGTGTTGCGAAGCAGAGGATCACTGGTTCGAGCCAGATATGGGGACAGGGACAGTGGAGGAAGCTAAACCGTTAGCAGCACACTGACCTAGGTTACACTTCTCTAAGATAGAAATCAGAATAGAACTAGCCTACCTAAGGTTGAGTGTCTGTACGAGAGTGGGCGGGATAAGATAGAAATTCGTCACGCTGCGATAATAATATGGATTCTATCACGGTGCTATGCCTCAGAGTCACCATGAGTGTCTAGTGCAGACATTCCACGTTCTAGTAAGCAGCATGCCGTTTAAATATGATTTTCTGTACTTGTTTGATAGATGCCAGCGAAGTATACAGTGAAGAAGACAGAGACGTCTGAGTCACAAAAAGCCACGTCAAATCAGGTTTTACGCAATACTTTTTCTTGTTTCTTTAGAAAACTTGTCTTGAATGCGAGTGTTGGATCTGAAGTGTGTTTTGATCGCCTCAGGTGGCAAACTGCCTCTCCTCATTGGGCCTTCCTCCGCCTGGTCCCGTCATTGGGCCTTCCTCCTCCTGGTCCCGCCTCCCGTCTCTGTTTAACCAATCAGGGAGCTGCGTCTTGACAAGTCCACATTGCTGGCACTCAGTCCTCTGCATTCTGATAGGCCGGTGTTGGCGTCCTGGAGAGAGGGAGGGAGAGAGAGAGAAAACAGAAAGGAGGTTTGATAAGGGATAGACACCAAAGTGATAAGGGGTAGACACCAAACAACAACATAGCACTAACTAAATCTAAAACTTTAATGGAAGTCCAATCTTTTCATTCAGATGTATAACTCAGGAGCTCAGTGACAGCAGTCCTTGGCTGGTAACTAACAGGTTAATAGCTCAGTGACAGCAGTCCTTGGCTGGTAACTAACAGGTTAATAGCTCAGTAACAGCAGTCCTTGGCTGGTAACTAACAGGTTAATAGCTCAGTGACAGCAGTCCTTGGCTGGTGTCACACCCTGGCTCTGGGACTCTATTTGTTGAGCCAGGGTGTGTTTATTCTATGTGTTATATTTCTATGTTGGGGGTTCTAGTTTGTCTATTTCTATGTTGGCCTGAGTGACTCCCAATCAGAGGCAACGAGTGTCAGCTGTTGGCTGGTTGTCTCTGATTGGGAGCCATATTTAAACTGTATGTTTTCCCTTTGTGTTTGTGGGTTTTTGTTCCGTGTTCGGTCATTGATACCGTGGACGTCACGAGTCGTTTCTGGTTTTGTATTCATGTTTAAACTTTAACTAATTAAAGTATGTTTGTTCATCACGCTGCGCCTTGGTCTCTCCCTGACGATCGTGACAGAAAAACCCACCATGCAACGACCAAGCAGCGTGTCCAGGGGCAGCTCTTGGGCTGGACATGGGAGGAAGCGCCGGGAGAAGAGACGGTGGAGGCGCGCCGTAGAGAGGAGCAACGGCGTGATCAGGGTCGTCGTCGGGCGGTCGAGAGGCAACCCCAGAAATTTTTTAGGGGGGGGCACACGGCATGGACGACGGGGCTGACGGAGGCAAAAGAGGGGCGGATTCTGGAGGCCACCAGGTTACGGATACACCGCCCTGTACGTCCTGTGCGGATGCCTCACACAGAGTGTGTGAGGGTAGGCATTCAGCCAGGACGGGTTGTGGCCGCTCTTCACTCCAGGGCTCCTATCCGTCTCCACAGCCCGGTTCGGCCTGTCCCTGCTCCACGCACCAAGCCTACGGTGTGCGTCGCCAGCCTGGTCCGGCCTGTCCCTGCCACTCGCACCAAGTCTACGGTGCGCGTCGCCAGCCCGGCCTGTTCCTGCCACTCGCACCAAGTCTACGGTGCGCGTCGCCAGCCCGTCCCGGCCTGTTCCTGCCACTCGCACCAAGTATACGGTGCGCGTCGCCAGCCCGGCCCGGCCCGGCCTGTTCCTGCCACTCGCACCAAGTATACGGTGCGCGTCGCCAGCCCGGCCCGTTCCTGCCACTCGCACCAAGTCTACGGTGCGCGTCGCCAGCCCGTCCCGGCCTGTTCCTGCCACTCGCACCAAGTATACGGTGCGCGTCGCCAGCCCGGCCCGGCCTGTTCCTGCCACTCGCACCAAGTATACGGTGCGCGTCGCCAGCCCGGCCCGGCCTGTTCCTGCCACTCGCACCAAGTCTACGGTGCGCGTCGCCAGCCCGGCCCGGCCTGTTCCGGCCACTCGCACCAAGCCAGGGGTGCGAGTCGTCAGCCTGGTAAGGCCCGTCCCTCCTCCACGCACCAAGCCAGGGGTGCGAGTCGTCAGTCCGGTGAGGCCCGTTCCGGCTCCATGCACCAAGCCAGGGGTGCGAGTCGTCAGTCCGGTGAGGCCCGTTCCGGCTCCACGCACCAAGCTAGGGGTGCGCATCGTCAGCCCGATCCGGCCCGTTGCTGCTCCACGCACCAAGCCAGGGGTGCGCATCGTCAGCCCGGTCCGGTCAGTTCCTGCCTCACGCACCAAGCCAGGGGTGCGCGTCGTCAGTCCGGCACAACCCGTGCCTGGGTTATCGGTGCCAAATCAGGTACCGCTCAACTGCTCCACAATGGAGCTGAAGCTAGCCGCTCCTGCTACGTCCAGGTCAGCTCCAGCCAGCGGGGCCAGACCGGACCAGGGGCGCTATGGGGGGTTTATTGGAGGGTGGTGGGCAAGGCCGGAGCCAGAACCGCCGCCGAGGAGGTATGCCCACCCAGCCCTCCCCTGTTTTGCTCTTATTGAGGCGCGGTCGCAGTCCGCGCCTTTAGGGGGGGGTACTGTCACACCCTGGCTCTGGGACTCTATTTGTTGAGCCAGGGTGTGTTTATTCTATGTGTTATATTTCTATGTTGGGGGTTCTAGTTTGTCTATTTCTATGTTGGCCTGAGTGACTCCCAATCAGAGGCAACGAGTGTCAGCTGTTGGCTGGTTGTCTCTGATTGGGAGCCATATTTAAACTGTATGTTTTCCCTTTGTGTTTGTGGGTTTTTGTTCCGTGTTCGGTCATTGATACTGTGGACGTCACGAGTCGTTTCTTGTTTTGTTTATTGTGTCGATTATCACTAAAGATAATAAAGTTCACTATGTTCGTTCAACACGCTGCGCATTGGTCTCTCCCTGACGATCGTGACAGCTGGTAACTAACAGGTTCATAGCTCAGTGACAGCAGTCCTTGGCTGGTAACTAACAGGTTCATAGCTCAGTGACAGTGATGTAGGGTTAACAGATGGTACCTGTGAGGGGTCTTCTGCACTCTTGTTGAGGAAGTTGAGGGAGCTGGCTCTCTTCATCCTGAGGAACACACAGACAGACGTTTACGTTTCAGTTAGCATCAATAGAAAATGTTTCAATGCCTGGGTGTTTCCTTTTTGACATTAGGTTACTAACTCAGGTGCCTAGTCGGCTCCCCACCAAAGAACAAACCTCCTGAGGGAAACACAAAACATTCACACAGTATGATCAGTGATGGGCTAGGGTCCAGACACACAGTATGATCAGTGATGGGCTAGGGTCCAGACACACAGTATGATCAGTGATGGGCTAGGGTCCAGACACACAGTATGATCAGTGATGGGCTAGGGTCCAGACACACAGTATGATCAGTGATGGGCTAGGGTCCAGACACACAGTATGATCAGTGATGGGCTAGGGTCCAGACACACAGTATGATCAGTGATGGGCTAGGGTCCAGACACACAGTATGATCAGTGATGGGCTAGGGTCCAGACACACAGTATGATCAGTGATGGGCTAGGGTCCAGACACACAGTTTCTCTCACCCTGGGTTGCGGGGCTCCTGGGGGCCACTGCCCTGTAGTTTCTTCACCAGCATCTCACTGCTCCTACGCAGCGCTTCACGGATCTTCCCAAAGGATCCGCTCCGACGCAACAAACCGTTCCCTTCCTGAGAGAACAAGACAACCACTACACATTAAGGAGTGGCCTCTAAACAGAAATCAAGTCATTATTTATGTAATAAATATTTATGTAAGCCTTTTTATTACTTCTATCAATGTATTTGTCAGGCACAACAAACATCACACTAGATTTTAGCTACACATTGTTGCTAGAAAAAAAAAAAAACATCTACATTTTTCTAACTTACGGGCGATTCACAATATATAACTCAATTGTTTCTCTCTCTAAATAAGCTTTGTTGCACAATTAAAAAGGTAAATACACTGCATTTCAAACGGTTGGGAATACTTTTATGAATTCAGGGCTTCTAAAATTATACCTAGGCTAAATATAAACCTTCAACCATAAGACCCACTCTACATTTAATTATTTTAACCTGCTTTTTTGCAATAATCACTGATCTGGCTTTCAAGTCTGTCTATGAAAATGCCCTTTTTGTTATTTTGGAATTAATTCGATATATCGCCCAGCCCTAATTTGACCGTATGTTCACTGAATTCTTCATCTTTCAACAATAATAAGACACTGACAGGTGCGCCGTACCCCGTTCCACTCTGCTCCGTCGTCCCCCTCACAGTCCCCCCGCTGGGGGCCGTTGAGACCCTCCCGGCTCTGCCGTCGCTCTCCCCCTCCTGGTGCCCCATCCTTCAGGAGCTCCACCACCTTACTCTGGTTAATGGCATCTATACCCTGGGGGGGGAGAGAGAGAGAGACATGATAATGAATCCTAAATGTCAGCAGGGTTGAAACAGAGTGTATGTGAGAGCTTCAAGACTCTAGACTACAGCCCTTGGTAATTGCACTGTCAGTGTCTCAGTGCTTGTACCTGCTTTTTCAGTGATTGTGTAGGACCTGTGTAGGACCTTTTTTGACTGAATGTGTATTACCAGTACCTGATAGTGATAGTGTATTACTAGTACCTGATAGTGAATTACTAGTACCTGATAGTGAATTACTAGTACCTGATAGTGAATTACTAGTACCTGATAGTGAATTACTAGTACCTGATAGTGGTAATGAATTACTAGTACCTGATAGTGAATTACTAGTACCTGATAGTGAATTACTAGTACCTGATAGTGAATTACTAGTACCTGATAGTGAATTACTAGTACCTGATAGTGAATTACTAGTACCTGATAGTGGTAATGAATTACTAGTACATGATAGTGAATTACTAGTACCTGATAGTGAATTACTATTACCTGATAGTGAATTACTATTACCTGATAGTGAATTACTAGTACCTGATAGTGAATTACTAGTACCTGATAGTGATAGTGAATTACTATTACCTGATAGTGAATTACTAGTACCTGATAGTGAATTACTAGTACCTGATAGTGAATTACTAGTACCTGATAGTGGTAATGAATTACTAGTACATGATAGTGAATTACTAGTACCTGATAGTGTATTACTAGTACCTGATAGTGAATTACTATTACCTGATAGTGAATTACTAGTACCTGATAGTGATAGTGAATTACTATTACCTGATAGTGAATTACTAGTACCTGATAGTGAATTACTAGTACCTGATAGTGAATTACTATTACCTGATAGTGAATTACTATTACCTGATAGTGGTAATGAATTACTAGTACATGATAGTGTATTACTAGTACCTGATAGTGAATTACTAGTACCTGATAGCGAATTACCAGTACCTTATAGTGTATTACTAGTACCTGATAGTGAGAGTGTATTACTAGTATCTGATAGTGTTTTACTAGTACCTGATAGTGATAGTGTATTACTAGTACCTGATAGTGATAGTGTATTACTAGTACCTGATAGTTGTAGTGAATTACTAGTACCTGATAGTGTATTACTAGTACCTGATAGTGAATTACTAGTACCTGATAGTGGTAATGAATTACTAGTACATGATAGTGAATTACTAGTACCTGATAGTGAATTACTAGTACCTGATAGTGATAGTGAATTACTATTACCTGATAGTGAATTACCAGTACCTGATAGTGGTAGTGTATTACTAGTACCTGATAGTGATAGTGTCTTACTAGTACCTGCTGGTATATTACTAGTACCTGATACTGATAGTGTATTACTAGTACCTGATAGTGTATTACTAGTATCTGATAGTGTTTTACTAGTACCTGATAGTGTATTACTAGTACCTGATAGTGATAGTGTATTACTAGTACCCGATAGTGATAGTGTATTACTAGTACCTGATAATGTATTACTAGTACCATATAATGTATTACTAGTACCTGATAATGTATTACTAGTACCTGATAATGTATTACTAGTACCTGCTTGCGTGTCTTGGTAGAACACTCCTCCAGTGTCTCAGCTGCCTGTAGTTTACCCTGTCTGCGGTACAGCGCCCCCAGGCTCTTCAGGGTGGTATTGACAGTAGGACTGACAGGAATTAAGTACATGTCAATATCATGTCATCATTAAACCACAATGTTTATATAATTTTAAACACTGAGTTCTGTGTATTTATCTCACATTCAAATTAAATTGAATAGTAACTCTCACCTGTCAACTTTGCAGGCCTTGTACCAGCTCCCATACTCTACACAGGGACTAGCTTCCTTCTTCTTCCCCTGAGAGAGAGAGCGATAAGAGAGTGCAGAAAGACAGAGAGAATAGAGGGGCAGTTAGCAGCAGTAGACATGAATTATGACCTTATTATAAAGCCTCCTCTATTATTAATACTTGAATATTCTCTGTGTTCCTCTCTGTCCTATTAGTCTACCTATCCATCAGAGTTAATAAGCTGCCATTAACAGTGATACAGTGGGACCATGGTTCAGATCAGTCATACTGGAGCTACCTTGCTCTCCTCTCTCTCCTCCGCATGCATCCAGATTGGCTTGTTGTCGTCTGCAAGAGAGAAGAAGAGGAGGAGGGGAGGAGATGAAGAGAGGAGGGGATGAAGAGAGGAGGAGAAGAGAGGAGGAGAAGAGGAGGATGAAGAGAGGAGGAGAAGAGGAGATGGAGAGGAGAGGATGAAGAGAAGAGGAGAAGAGAGGAGGAGAGGAGAGGATGAAGAGAGGAGGAGAAGAGAGGGAGGAGAAGAGAGGAGGAGGAGAGGAGAGGATGAAGAGAGGAGGAAGAAGAGAGGAGAAGAGGGGATGAGTGGCACGGTTTCATTTGTACGTTCATATATTTTATTGCAAGGACCAGAAAAGTATACCACACGTATACTGTACGTTCCCTCACACAACAAATAAAAGGTGTTTGCATTTAAAACCAAATGGATTCATTTATGGCATATCATTAAAAGAGTATTCCACCTCAATGCTAACTATGTGAAACCTACAGTGTGTGTGGGAACACAAAGTGTACCATGCTGACCCATGCCAGACCCCCTCCTGTACTGTGCTCTACAGAGCGTGAGAGAGTGTGTAAGGGTTTGATTGGCTTAAAGGCAGTGATCTGGACACGGTGGTGCATTAAGATGCTTTACACATGACAGATAGCCTGTTTTAGCCAGGACACGGCCACGCATGGCCAGCCAATGACCACAGGGTTTACTGGGCAGTCACAGCCAGAAAGGACATACTGTTGATTCACACCTCTTCTAATGCTACATGAAGAGTTGATGGAGTTGGTTGGTTGGTCTGTTGTGGTGGCACATGTAGTACTAGGCTACATCCCAAATGGCACCCTATTCCCACAGGGCTCTGGTCCAAAGTAGTGCACTACATAGGGAATAGGGTGCCATTTAATTAGTAACAATTGATTGGATTTATATAGCGTTTTCTACCGAGGTACTGAAAGCGCTTTACATAGTAGGGGGAAACTCACCTCATCCACCACCAATATGTAGCACCCACCTGGGCGTGTACAGCAACCATTTTGTGCCAGAACGTTCACAACAAATCAGCTATGAGGTGGATAGGTGAGGAGTGATATATGCCAATTAGGAATGAGGGCATGATTAGCTGGCCATGATGGGATTTGGGATGCAGCCCTAGTCTGTCAGTGACTGATGTGTTAATGTCCTCTGTAGGAGACTCACTGTTGACTGATCCAAACTCCTTCTCATGTGCTCTGGTCAGGATCTCTTTGTACAGAGACTCAGCATCCTTGAACTTTCCCTGTTTGAGGTAGCATGTAGCCTAGAGAGATGAGATGAAACATGTCAAATGGTTGGATGCGAAAATACAACTCAATTCAATACACAAGCAAATAAATGTAACAATACCAAGTTTGCAAAAAACATCAGTCTTTTCAATTTGATTCATCTTGATAAAATATTTCAGGGGGAATTCATTACTGAAAATGTAGCTCTTCAACCCATCTACTACAATCTCTCTCCCTCCTCACCAGGTTGTTCTTGGTCTTGGCTACGTTGGGGTCGTCAGTCCCCAGTTTGGACTGGTAGATCTCCAGGGCTTGTCTGTAATAATACTCCACCTCCTCGTATTTTCCCTGGTTCTGACACAGCAGGGCCAGGTTGTTCAGCTGCTTGGCCACGTCAGGGTGGTACTTCCCCAGGACCTGAACACACACACGCATTTAAATACTTTACCTACATGATAGAACAAGTCATACATATAGTTTCACTTGTGAGTTATTCATGGACTATTAATTTTTATCTGACCACATGACCTAACCAGGAAAAACTCTGTAATGATCCATACCTTCTCTCTGATCTCCAGGGCTCTCTTACAGAGGGGCTCAGCCTCCTTGTACTTGCCCCTCTTCCCATAGAGCACGGCCAGGTTGTTGAGAGTGGCGGCTACCGCAGGGTGGTCCTTCCCCAGGGTCTTCTCTCTGATGGCCAGGGCATCGTTCAGCAGATGAGCTGCCTCTTTGTACTTGTTCTGGTCCCTGGAAGAAAAGATCATATAATGTTGGAAGATGTATACATGTGCTACCTGTAGTTAACCAGTAAGTCTCCATTCATTATCTTCAGCCAGCTATTCATCTGAACAAGAGTATCTACAACTATCTACACATCCTCTCTGCACCCATCCATCTCTCCATCCTATTCACACACACCTGTAGACCAGGGCCAGGATGTTGAGCATGGTGGCCACGTCAGGGTGGTCGTGTCCGGAGGTCTTCTCCAGGTCTTCCAGGGCCTGTTTGCAGAGGGGCACGGCCACCTCGTACCTCCCCTGAGAGGCGTACTGGATCACCAGGTTGTGGAGGGTCCTCAGGCGGGCTGGGATCTCATAACCACCCTGCTGGGCCGCCACCTCTCCACTGGGCTGGGCTGGAGGGGGGAAGGAAAATAGAAGGGAGAGGAGAGGAGAGGAGGTCTCATTCTTGGTACATTGCTCCAACAGGACTTGACTCAAAATGTCTAGCACCATTTGTGAATGCAACCCTGTGACAACATCAACGTTAGTGCTCTGCTACAGCTGATGATGTCACAGGATTTGATGGGCTATTGCTCTACAGATGTTGACTACAGTCTCTGGGTTGGAAAATTTTAATTTAGACTTTTGTGGGATTCCCCTCAATGGTCTTCTTCTTCTTGATCAATTAATCAGATCAGTCAATCAACCAATCATCATACCTTGTCCCTGGTCGTCATCATTGGGGAACAGGTCGTCCAGGCTGTCTTTAGACGTCTGCCCTGCAGCCTTCTCCTCAGACTGTGACACGTCATCATCAAACTTCTTGATCTGGTTCATGAACTCCAGGTGTTTCTTCTCCTCCTCTAGCTGGGCAACACTCTGCTCACTACGCTGCAGCTTGTGCTGGGGGGAGGGGAGGGGAGGGGAGAGGGAGGAGATGTGAGTGTGAGGGAGGGGAAGCTTGGCAAATGTTTTGCTTTGGAAGGGTTTAAAATGATAGCATACTCCAAAATCGAAATTGACGAGATGAGTCCACATCCCACACCATCGACTGTGTACATTTTACATTTATGTCATTTAGCAGACGCTCTTATCCAGAGCGACTTACAGTAGTAGTGAGTGCATGCATTGTAATACTTTTTTCATACTGGTCCCCCGTGGGAATTGAACCCACAACCCTGGCGCTGTAAGCCATGTTCTACCAACTGAGCTACATCGGGACATGGACTCAAAACGTTTTAATCACTTTGGTTTTAGAAACGTCTGACAACCATTGATATTAGAGTGAACTACCACTGTAAGCAGTATGTAGTGATATGCTGTATATGTACCTGTGTTCCTGCCAGCTCGTCTCTTAACCACTGGTTCTCTTGGCACAGTCGTCTGACCTGGGCTCTTAGCTTCTGTTTCTCTGACTCCACAGCACTCAGGTGACCCGATAGGGCAATGATCACCTGGGGAGAGGGAGGGAGGGATGGAATGAGGGGTTAACCCTCTACAGTCTAAGCCAGGGTGGGGGGGGGTTCTACTAAGCTGACATATGGAATTCTTATAAAATGGTCATACCATGGATCATTTAGATATTTGAGTTTGAATTTTAGGACCCCTTTAGGTGTCCCCCCAGAAATATAGTCATACAGACATTTTCGTGAGAAGACCGATTTTCGGAATGTCTCCTGGTCTGACAAACACCGCTGTAGCTCGGCCACCTTTCACCGCAGAAGGCCGATATCGGCGACTGAGATGCAGCCCTTGCAAAAAAACGGATATCTCTTGCTTAGACAGATATTTATGGGGACTATTGTATTATGATAATTCGATTTCCGCAGGGCCGCAGAAATTGATTCAAAAGGGTTAATTGAACGAAGAGAGAAAGCCTTGAGAATGTTTTTGTTTCTAAAGAGTAAGCGGCTAGCCTTGGGGCGATGATCACCTGAAGAGAGGGAGTTTATTTGATCTATTTAACCTTCATTTATCTAAGCAGGTCAATTAAGAGCTAACTCTTGTTTTAAATGACAACCTGGCAAATAGGGAGGGGTTAAAATAATACAGGAAAGCTTTGATCATGTTTTGGTTTCAAAGGGAGGGAAGTGGTAGTCTGTGGGAATGAGTGTGTATAATAATAATAATAATACATTATTATTATTTAGTCAGTGTTTATATGTGTTCTATTTCACACATGTTCAAGTGTGTATGAATACATGTTTGAAATGGAAATGTTTTTTTGCATATCCTATTATCAATGGTGACTCTGGAGCAATTAGGGTAAGTGCCTTGCTCAAGAGCACATCAACAGATTTTTCACCTTGTCGGCTCAGGGATTCGAAGAGCAACCTTCCGGTTACTGGCCCAACGATCAAACCGCTAGGCTACCTCCCATGACAGACTGCTTGTTGTAACCTATTCTGAGACCAGTGCAGAGAATGTCCTCTTTGGTGGACAATGTATAATTATATTCTACTCTATTCAAAATAGGGTGGGGAGATGGAGGAGTGAGTTGAGTGGCAGGCAGGGAGGGAAAGCTTTGAATATGTATTTTGGGATGTTCTTTTACGCATTTCATGTTATATCAGTCCATCTGTGTCTAAGACAGATTCCCACTGGCACCTTCATACAGGAAGAACAACTTCCATATTCTCTATAATTCATTGTCCTCTCTTTCTATAAGAGACATTAATCTAAATATATCCTCTCCTTCACTCTTAGTCACACAATGTACCACGTAGAGGACCAGCATCATCTTTTTCACCCTTCCCCCTCGTGATTTCTCATCATTGCATCATCATCATCCTGTATGTCTAAACCAGAGCAGTAAGCATCTTCCACTCAACCCCCTCTATTCTCTCTCTTTTCTCTTTCTTTCCCCCCCTCTCTCCATCCCTCAACCCCTCTTTCCCCCTTATCTCTCCTTACCCATCTCTCCCACCCCCTCCCTTTCTCCTACCTGTGCCTCTCCCAGGCCCAGTTCTATGGCCTCCAGGCTCTTGCGCAGCAGGCCTGACTTCTCCTGGGCAGCGGGTGGCTGGGTGCAGTCCAGCAGGGATGTGAGGAGCTGGGCATGCTCCCCTCGGAGGGTCTCCAGGCCCTGCATCACAGCCTTGGTGTTGAGCACTATCTCATCCTGGGTCAGGCGCTCCAGGGTCTCCTCGCTGCGTGGGTACACCATGGTGGACATAACCTGAGTTCACACACACTGGAGGGGAGAGAGTTAGAGAGGTTAGTCTTGAGTTCCCATATTATTCTTCAAAGCTCTTAGAATCAAGGCTAGTTAGTAGTTAGAGGAAGAGCCATCTAATAATATTACAAGACTCAGAAATAATGAATGTCCGACTATGAGATTATTTCAAGGATGCGCATTAGAGGAACAAAATCTCTCAGAATAAATGATGTCCAAATCAAGAGAGATTTTGTTCAAACAGAACTGTTCAGTCTGTTACCAACAACCAACCACGCCACAGCTCACTCCTCTGCACCATCTGCCTCTGTTCCAATGGGACTCATCTTTTGAGCTTGAATAAATTAATTAATGAGCTGTGAGCATTTCAGTTACAAAGCTATTCTATACATCGTTTGCGTGGCACTACCTTTATAGTCAGTCTTTCTATCTCGCGAGAGAACAGAACTGACTAAATGGAATCATGGAAGGTAAACACACGCATCGTCGCAGAATTGTAGCTGGACCGAGCAGAAATACGCGACTCCGCGACTTCTCCTCCACTCCTCTGCTTTGTTGTGGACGCGCACCTGTTCTCCTCTCCCGACGCCAGGAGGCCCTCGCCCACAACATCACCTCCCTCCTCCTCCCTTCCCCGCCCGCACAATCCATTGACTGCAATGCACCAATATGAGCGATCCCGTAATTTCCCATCCGATTGCCACAGCTAACAAATCTCTCAAACACTGTATGGGACGTTTGGCAATTTGCAACTCTTGTTATCGATCCATCTTACTGTCAATAGTAACCTAGTATATGGGCCGACACACTTTCGTTACCGCCCCTCTCACAGGATGACAAGAAATGGGAGACAGAGGATCAATGAAGGAGATCGATAGAGCAGAGCATTACACGGAAATAAAATACATTTAGTAGTTTGAGAGACCTAAACTATTATAAGATCCAGGCCTATATCGTACATAGCATGATAGGCCTAATTGTCACACATAGGCTCATGTCCTACAAAAAACACTCCGACATGTTTGTAAGCATAGCGGCAGGTTTGAGGCCCAGAACGAAATATGCTTCTGCATTTCTTTCTGCAATGGATGCGGTCGTGAGAACACTGTGTAAAGTCTCTATACTAATTCATGATGACCACAACAATTTCCTCAAGACTTAAAATAAGCGATGACTCGTCCAAACAATGTAGCGAACCAAGACGAGCTCGATTGGCAACATTGTAGAACGTTGGTGATATCACGAGCCTAGTCTGGGAGAGGAACACTGGTATGATTTAAGTATCCTAGCTCTCTCGAATGGACGTCAAAATATAAGCCAATTTAATTAATATTCTGTTAAAAATACACTCAAAAACCTCGTATTGACTCTCAATCCAAACGTTACCTTAATCGAAACGGTTCTATTTTCCCCAAGACAAGTGCGCTGCCCCCGGCTACCTCGAGCTCAAACAAAGCACGACGGACTGTTGTGATGCTCCACTTCCATCACTTTTTTAAAGAGTGGGCTATGCTCGTGAACGGCAATGACAACGTCAAGGCTGAGGAGATACCGATATAAACCTGCGCTTATATAAACATTGACAGGATAATATTACAGATCTTTAAAGTGATACGTTTCCTACGGCTAAGCAAATTGTTAAATGTAGTCAGGTAACAACAAAAGTGAGTCTGTGTACCACATCTATGTACCTTCTCTCTCTCCCCAGTCCGCCCGCCGGTTAAATCCCGATGACACGTTTTTCGGCCTGCTGCACTATAAAAATAGCCCACGAAACACCACTGGCTTTAATCCCGTTGTATAATGCCGCTGCCGTCTAAAAACTCGCAAATTCCAAGCAATACATTGTAACCAATTATGCTAGCATTGCTGCCTGGCTAGCTAATGAATTCGAGCCTGCCACGAATAAGCCTAGTCAATGTTCTCTTGTCTTTGTAGCTTGGCTTGAACCAGAGCAGCGCTCAAAATACAGGAACACTATTTGCTATGAGTCGACATCGTCCTATCCATCCTCAGAAGTTGTTTTAAAGATAGTGAGGGACCGCTGCGTTCTCGCACAGTTTTAGAAGTGTGTTCCAACGATGACAGTCGCGACCCGAAAATGGCTGTTGTCAGAATTCTCCCACAATCCACAGGCTGGGCGCTATGACATCACCGCTACCGCCCCGCCAACCAACTAGAGGGGAAGGGGCATGATGTTGGGGCAGTAGGTATTCCTTTTTTTTTTTCTAATGTAGACATGTATTTGGCTACATAGATGGCACAATTGTCTTGTTTTTAAAATGTACTGATAGCCACACTACAACACTCAGACATCATTTACAAACGAAGGATTTGTGTTTAGTGAGTCCGCCAGATCAGAGGCAGTAGGGATGACCTTGAAAAGTGTGTGAATTGGACCATTTTCCTGTCCTGCTAAGCATTCAAAATGTAACGAGTACTTTTGGGTGTCAGGGAAAATGTATGGAGTAAAAACGACTACATTTTCTTTAGGAATGTAGTGGAGTAAAAGTAAAAGTTGTCAAAAATATAAATAGTAAAGTACAGATACCCCAAAAAACTACTTAGGTAGGTAGTAGTACTTTAAATTATTTTTACTTAAGTACTTTACACCACTGTCTACAGATGCCTAAAAAACTTGAACTGAACTTAAACTTATAAAATAGGCTATGTTCATTCCTAGATTTCTTTCAAATGAATGAATGAAAATACACCAGAGGACATACAAATCAGGAGTATTTATTTAAAAAACAAAACAATGAACAGTTCCACTTTTCCATCGCACATCAGTTTAATTGACAACATAAACATGAAAAAGCAGTACTACAAAATATTTCAAATAAAAAACAAGGCCTAAGATACATTACAGAAGTACATTTGTTTTGTATGTACAAGCGTTATTACTGTTAAGAGGCAAAAGGCAAAAAAGCTGCTGCAGAAACAATGGCATGTGCAAAAATACTCTCCAAATCCACAAGCGTTAGAATCCTCCACTCAAACTCTACTAGCTACCAAGCATAACTCTGGTCTATGCAGTGTTACACAAAAAAATGATTCCCTTCTGTGATTGGCTGCTATGTTACAAGCAGGGAGATCCTTTCAAAGGGGTTCTATTAGAAGCAAAGCTTGTGGAATCCTGGCAGAGACTCTAGATCTCTAACGGTTTGTTCTAGATCTCTCATTCCATTTGTTCTGAAACACAATGTGATGATAGAGGAGAGGAAGGAGATAATTGATCATTAAAAATGATTTATTAATAGATCATATTGTTCTTCCCCTTCACTAGGGACAGGTGTTTTTCAGGATCATGTGACCTGATCAGGAAGTCTGGGCCCTGGTTATAGGTTTAGACCAAAGACGGTGGATAAATGAAGATATCTTACTCAGGCCGTTTACCATTGAAAAAAATGGTCACAGTTCCGTTCTACTTAAGGGGTGTCTCTCCCATAGACACCAATGTGATAGCAGCTGGGTCTGGTCTACTTAGTTCATTGACTGTATATGAACCAGAAAAAATGAGGGAGCGGGATGTCTTGCTTCCTCTTCCGTCTCTGGTATAGACTATAACCAGGGCCCAGAGTTGTTCCTGATCAGGTCACATGGTCAGGAATAACTGCTGTCCCTAGGTTCTGACTAGAGGGAGTACAGCTACGACCGGAAGTTACTTTTTCGTAGCAGGTTAGGAGAATTTCTGCAGAAGGATAGCAGGATAATTAAAGTGGCAGGTTAGGAGACTTAGGTTAAGGTTAGGAAAAGGGTTAGGATTAGCTCAAATGTTCTCCTAACCTGCTACGAAAAGTAACTTCCGGTCGTAGACTATACTCCCTTTAGTCACAACCCTGTCCCCATACGTTAGTGATGAAGACCATCACAGCAACCACAGGTCAGTCCAGCTAGAGACACAGGTTAACACACAGCAGGTAAAGTTAAAGAGACAGTCACACAGGAAGAATAGGCCTAGAGAAGGTAGGAAAAACAACAAACAACATGTAAACGGTGAGACAGGTGAAAGACAGGGACTGAACTGGGAACAGGGGGAGAGGAGAGACAGAGGAGTAAAACATTGGAATGTATCGTGGTAACAGAATAATTTTCTAACATTGAAATTAATACTTTTGGAACAAAGATAATTATTAAAGTTTTGTTTTCTTGTTATCACCAAAAGCATTACAAACACTGAACACCTTTATCTACACCCCTGCGTCAGCTTGGGTGTTATATCCATGTAACAGACATTTTTGGCAGTGACTTTTTTCCCCCTTAGGTGAATACTTATGATCCCCCTTATGAAGAGACAGCAGTTCAAATAGAATCATATCTTACACTCCTTATTATGCTAATAACACGCTACAAGGCAAAGAGCAGTTGGAGCTCTGTGTTCTGCTCAGAGGCAGTAGACGTCGCCCATAACGACTGATTCAGGGTCAGATAGCTTTAAATCCACTAATGATTATGGTTAGAACTGGAGGGCAGGGTAATCTGATCCTAGATCTGTGGTTAAGGAGCCACATCTACACATCATACGTCCCTCCCATAGATACAACCATGTACATAACATACATAGATAGATACAGTCTCAGTTAAAATATGCATTGAGAGTCCAAGTCCAGATGAAGATATGGGTCTGGGTCTAGCCCTTGGCTGGTGGGCAGCAGAATTTGCCATATCTCTCTTTGGTACTCACAAGGGAAGTTGCACAAAGTATCCAAGCTCACAGGTTACAAGGTCAACTGACTATGGAGTTTGGAGAGCGATTATTATGGTGTGTTCGTGTTCTAGAACAACATAAAATGTTCTAGTGAAGTAACAGCTGGTTCTGGCCTATAAAAAGTGTTTCGTTTGTAAAGTAATAGACAGCTGTCTCTCCTGCTATCCATTTTTCTTCTCAAATGAAACGAGACATTGACTGATAAAATAGGTTTAAAACTTCCTAAATGGATGTTACTAAATAATGATGCTTCTGACGACAGTCGACAAGTGTGAGAAGAGATCAAATAAACTGAGACACAATCAATGAATATTATCTGCATTCAAATGAAGTTCAGGGGATATCTCCAATGATTGTTGGAAATACATCCTTGTTGTGTGAAATCTTCGCATTCTATCATTCAGACTTATTTGTAGAACATGGATAGCTTGGTATTCATTCTCTCAGGGAGTTTGAAGGCCTTGGTGCAAAACCCTTCCTTCGTAAGGCCCCCCCCCCCCCCCCCAAAGAGAACAGGGCCAGATATTGAGTTAGTTAGACGAGATGTTGACGTCACTGCTGAGAAAACTTCTACCTCCAAGTTACCATGAAAATCATAATAATAACAGTGAAAGTGGAGACAATGGTATTGTAATACTTGACATTTGTCATAATACTTTCCACTGCACAGATGTGGTTAGGGTTACAGTTTAGGTGACACAACGCTAAGTTACTCAAGACTGGTCAGCTTTCATTTTAGATGGGAAGAGGACTAGTGTGTTGCTTACAACACATTGCCATTTTATTTTATTTTAAATACATATTTTGATGTACTATGCAGGTACATTATAGACCATAGACTTTGCTACTAAATTGAAAATCAATTATTTAAGTCAAATTCGTTGGATACAAATGAATTGTCTGTAGTTGTTCATTGAAAGCAGCAGAGCTCTTAGTAGCTCCTAAAGGTCATTTAGGGTCGTCTTTCTTTGTGTCAGTCTACAAGGTAAACGTCTGGACGCTGATTCCACAGCCTAGAGAACTCATAATGTGATATTGACCACATCATCTCCACGGCAACAAACACAAACCTATCATACTGTGTCACGTTGGTTACTTATAAAATTGGTTTCATATATAGCTACTGTTTTTAGTTTTACCACAGTACATAATAACACTTAAACACAACTGTCATGGGACACTCACTTTGCTGCCTCACGACACCCTGGACGAAATACACCACCACGTCACTGGAGTGAGCGCTGTCTGTCTGTCACAGCCACAGGTAAAGGTGGCGTTCCTCCCTGACTACCGCCTGCCTGACTGATTGCATTGCATCAACCAATGGTTGTGTGTCACATCATCGACTGTGAAGTCGGGCATCAGATTGCTATATCATATGGTGTGGTTAGCTGACATATTAAACAGCTATCCAGGCGTTGTGAGATCTGGCAGGAGAAGGGCAGCTATTAGCGAGCGACATCGTGCTTTGGAGGAGGACACATAGATATGATAACGCTGGGGGAGGAGGTACTGGAAGTTTATAGCAGTGTCACCGCTCCTGTCCCCCAACTTAACCCCAGCTCTAACCTCAGCGACAGCCCCAGCCTACAAATCCCAGAATGCAACAGCCTCACCCAGGCGATACACTATGTCCACAAGCACAAGGAGGACTAAACACCGGCGGTTGCATCAAGAGAGCAATGCTGACAACAACAATAACTGATTGATAAAGGGACAAGATTTACAGACAGCAGAAATGTTGCCACTTGTCAGTAAAGTTTTGACGAACAGTGAGCTCTGAATTAGGAGCACTCGCTGTACTGGACTATCCTGGACTGGACTATACTGGACTGGACTGGACTTGACTGTACTGTGCACGGAAAGTTACAATGTAGTTACAATATAAACCGGGAACTTTTTCCTTTTCTACTCTTCATATGCATAACATTTCAACTTATATCATTGGTGAGAAAAAAAGCTTTTTTTTGTATTTAGGAGGCAGGAAAAGCATTGCTGCTGTAGGTGTTGTCTGTTGTTTGTTCCATTTCATGCACATGTGTTTTTGGTTCCAAAGTTCCCCTCCATACCCCATAATAACCATGTCATTACTGTTGACACGACATTATGTTCTTGTTGTAACTGGCACGTGGGTGGTGTAGTTTACAGCATGCAGGTCTGGGTTAGAGCACAGATTGACCTTTTGTGACAGATTGACCGTTGGCAGGTTCAAGGTGATAAGAGAATGACCTGGTCTGGGTTAAAGGTTAAAGGGTCAGGGTTCATGATGGGAGTTATTCGTGGGGTTGCATCTCATCGTTACGGTTAGTTGAACAGCAGTTCGTTATCTTGTTCTGTGGGCCCCTCATACACATATGCCACACCGGGAGAGAGGGGCATTTCAATTCATTAAAGTG